TAACCATGGCTACCCAATGTACTGTAGATGGGTATGTAGCCATCATGGATACCAAGCTACTAGTACTACACATGGGCATATAATCCACATGAGTGCAATCACATAATGATACAGCAGGCAGACCTGTGGACTTCTGTTGTTCATTGAGTATGTTTTGTCATTCAGCCCCTTACTGCTCCTAGTATAGGATGCCCGCGAGGATACCCGCGAGCTGTTGATGATTGGTTTTTAGAATGCGATGTACGTCTGTGCTGCTGGCCAGTACAGTTATACGCACGGTTTCAGAAAGAAATCATCTTGATTCTTGAACTATAATCTTGGAACCGAAAATTTCTTTTTCAAAGCTCACTGCTGATTGCTGCATGCCTTCAAGTCGCACTTCCTCTGTCTCTACTCTCACTTGGCCACATCAATAAGTTCTTAGCCAGCATTTGCTAACAGTTGATGCTAGTTCTCCCTCTGTCTGCAGAGCGTGTCTGGTGATCTGTGCAACTATGATAGGGATGTGATCTTTGCAGTAAAAGAATGTGCAAATAACACTACTACAAGCAAGGGTAGTATGAAATAGTGATACTGACTTCGGCTTAGCATTCACTCTATACTTCGGCACACTCTATACTGCAGCACACTCTATGCCACAACTCAAATCAACAGTGCAGTCAGAGAACAGTGAGGGTAGTAGTAGTAGTGTTCTGAAAGTAAAGCAATTCCTAAAGGCCAGTACTGCAGAAGGAACCGTGGACTGTGGCGTCCCCTGTGTCGGAACAGACCATCATACTGCAGACACATGCACTACATCATATTGTACTACCTGTGACGAATGACTGCCCAGTGATAATTGTAGAATTTCTCAATATCTTGAATCATGCTGATTGTCTTCTGGTAGACGTTGTGCGGCTACTTGTATTAACCCGTGTCTCCCACGGCTGCGTCCAGGTTCAATGCAGCCTCGGCCATTGCGGCAGCGTACGGGTCTTGCAGTGCCTTGAGCAGATCCTCGGGTAGGTCTGCCGACGGTACGAGTTCTTGCTTCCGAAGCGACGGCTCTTCAAACGGCAGCAGAGCATCAGCAGCGGCTGACGAGTCCTCGATGGATGTCAGCGCCGCCTCGATTTCCGGTAAACATAGTGTGGATGTTGGCTGCAAAGTGATTTTGTCATCCACATCCATCCAGCCACCACCAAGAGACTGTAGACATGCACAAGCACAAAGAAATAGAGAAGCATGATATCAGTATGAATAGAATATTGATCGAGACGAGGTCGAGGTCAATATTCTATATGTACGCCGGTACAGTTCACTCACATGATGCACGTGTATCACTTATTCTGCTTCGTTGATGCTACATTAGCATTTCTAGTGCTAGCTTTGGATTCCCGGTCTGCACCCATTAACACTATCATGAATTCATGATCGTACCACTAGTACAGCAGGAAGTTCTGGGATGGACACACACACACACACACACAATCATGATGCCAACATTAGTGCAGAGTGTGCAATGGTCACCTTGACGGCACCTTCCAGCCAGTCCAGATCTTTCTCCAGCTGCTTCTGTGAGTGCGTTACGATACGCTCCACAAAGTAATCGCGGTCGCTGAACGACGCAACGGCACTCAGGCCATGCCGTAGGCAAATACTCTGCATGGTTGAGACATGGATAAGCAAGAACAAACCGGATTCATACTTGCATGGCACGCGAAAAGCAGTGAAAAGAAAGAAACTGTACCATATATTCGGTACTTGGTGAACAGCGACTTGTGTCATCATCAAATGTAAGTAATACAGTAAATCTCTTTCCTTCATTGGTTTATTGAAGATAAGCCACTCATAAAGCAGCCTCCCCCTCTGCAATGACCAGAAGGTCAGAGCAGAACGGTCATCAATCACCAGCACTCTTGCATCCAAGGATGCTGTCGTGCTGGTGTGCTTCCCGCTCAGGGGAGGATGCTACATGTCATCCTCGTGGCTTATGCGGTTGTCTTTGTTGGAGAACAAAGACGGGATACGTACTATAGAAATGATCCTAGTGAGTACGATCTTGATTTTCCACTCTTAGGCGTCTTTGCTAAGTATGCATTTTGACTCCAGTGTCTATCATCACCAAAACTTGCCGTTGCCATAAAAATAATTTAAATCAATTTTACACTGAGTTTAGGCACCAGTGGAGTCAGTTCCACCTTGAGCTTTACGTCAGTTCATCTTCTACTAATAATTGCTCAGAGATACGCCGTGCCGTGTTGCCATGGTGATTATTATCTTCAAACTTGCTTTTTGTTTCTATTTTTCACTTTTGTCCAGGACACAAATCTGCATTGTACTATAGTTGACCTGATGATATCAGTTTGGTGTAGGGTTCGGTAACCCTGGTAACCTTCATACCTCATCCCCATGCACTTCTTTCCAAAATTCATACCGGTTCATGACAGAGAACCATGCAGCTGAGAAGTGACACAATGGGAGGGGGGGGGGGGGTGTTACTAGCATTTTTTACAGCAATACCGCAAATTATGCCGGCATAATCCGCCGGTGCCTATAAGTCGCACACCACATGTTGAGGTCTATGTCGTTTCAATATTCACCTCAGTGGTAAGTCGTGCATAAGTCACACCCCTTTGTTGGCAGGGGCGGATCCAGACCCCAAAGCTGAGGGGTGCGAGGATGAAACTTACATTATTTTCTTTTGCAGTAGTAAACCAAAGACATAGTATGTTATGTGTGTTAGGGGCCGTCCAAGGTTACCAATAATATTTTCAAAACGAAATGTTTTCGTTTGGGGGTGCGTGGGTTTGATGGAGTTTCGTTTTGAAAATAATTATTGAATGTAGATGGAGAATGTCCAGTTACTTCTGGGTGTCGAAAATTGACATCAATATTTTATTGGAGTTCGTTTTACCTGCAGAAAAGATGGGTGGGTGGGTGGGTGGGGGCTGAAAAATACTAAAACTTTTCGTTTTGCAAAAACAATCGGTAACCCCGGACGGCCCTTACTGTATAATATCATAATTACACATAGCACCAAGATGAGTAGTATGATTAGTTTCACATTGAATGTCAAAATTTACAAGTAATTTACGACTGCTACCGGTATGATTCTCAGTCAGACACAGATTATGCTATGTACATGCTATATGGCAGGCCTGACTTTTTTTTTTTTTTTTTGGAAAAATCCTGACGGGTTCATTTGCACCCTTCGCACCCCCCTGGATCCGCCCCTGGTTGGCCATGATGTTTAGTGGAAAAAATGTGCGACTTTAGTGGTATAGATATATTCGGGGAAATACGGTACTGGAAGTTTAGACACTGTTCTTTTTTGTGTACTTTTGTTGGATGATGTAATGTCACAGTTGTGCTCGGTGAAATCCGACCCAAATGCCATATTTGGCGCCCTGAACTTTTTCTTAAAAAAACTTTGGCCAGTATGACTACCGTAAAGTACCGTTGAGCCGCCCCCTCTCTAATTCCCGCCCCCTGTCGATTTTCTACCTGTGAAGCGATTTCGGCGTATACAACTAAATACGATGTTGAACGACGCTTGCACTGGTGTACACAATATGTGCCAATCCAGGATGAAAATGTGCACAATCCAGCACATCGAGTCTGATCCTCCAAGTTGTTGTACATCGTACTGCACTTCACAGCCTTGATCTAATCCCCCCCCCCCCCCCCCCCCCCCCGCCGAAAAACCAGCTGGGAAGCGACACGGCGTGGGGGCAGATCAACGGTACTTTACGGTGCTACCAAGAGTATAACCCCCCCCCCCCCCTGGATATGGGGTCTCCGACGGCGAAAACTCACATCACGTGTCTCAGGTACGTTTTGTACTACGTACAAACGAAGGATAGCGTGCGCAATCCGAATATCTGCCATGATCATGCTGGGGATTTGCATGCACAGTGAGTTTCTGTCAGAGAGTGCTTGTTTTTATTACTCCCCTGCTCACTAACAGTTAAAAACGGGCTGGAAACGTACAACTGCGATACTACACCACGTGATGTGAGTTTTCCCCGTCGGCATAACTTGCCCCATAAAAAGGGTATCAGGAGTTGCACACTCTTGGGGAGTTATTTACTGTTGCTACTACAGTATTCACTTTGTCTTGGGCGTTAGACATGGGGAGGTTGCCATACAGGAGTGGTGAGCCCGCTTTTCGGCACCGAGCTTGCACGGCCCTCGACACCCTGGAAGTAGTTTGAATGCGCCTGGATGTACACGTGTGCAAGTAGAGTGATGGAATTGGAACTCGCCCAGGACGCCAGGTTTGCACTACGGGTCAGATTTCAATGAGCGAGAAGAATAGTGGCCCCTCTGGCACTAATTGTGTGAGTACGGTGCACAAAGTCACTGTACACATAGCAAATCCACAGGTGCGGGTCAGGGGCAAATACACGGCTCAGCCACCAGACCCGATCTTGTTGCCCTGCTCAGAACATCGCTGGATGAGGACAAAGAAGTAAGTGAACCTACTAGCACGAGCCCCCTGGCTGCTAATGAGGGTGTTGTTGCCAGCCTGTGCTCAGCTCTGTCTGAACTCACTAATGTCGTCCGAGAGTTGAAGACTGAGTTACACGCCATGAGAGAAATAGAAGCTAAATTCAACGATTCTGCCAGAGAGGTGTTGTGCCTGAAGACGGAAGTACGGGAACTTAGGAACGACCTGCATGCCAAAGTTGAGAGGTACGATACGGTGATTCAAACTTTGAACAATGACCCCACTGAACCAAGCTTTACCAAAACCGTATCCTCGACCCCACAACATCGACCCACGTATGCAGAAACTTTGCACCAACAACCAGCATTGCAGCCCAAAAATACTGCCCCTGCAGCTGCCCCAGCTGCCCAAAGGCCACAACGCCAGCCTCCCAAGCCGTACAGGCGACAGGAATCGTCTCGCTGGCTGGCACCCAAGCTTCCAAAGAGCACCACCCGATGTGCACTAACGGGTAAGCCAAGAGTCAAAGTGTTCTACGTTGGCAACGTGGACCCCGAATGTGATGCCAAATCAATTGCAGAGCATTGTCAGGCACAGGATGTACACATCGTGCAGAGTGTTGTGTACACCTCGGAGCGCTTCCGAACAGGGTTTGCCAGGGTCACAGTGTTGGCGTCGGACGCCACCACCGTACAGGACAAAGCATTTTGGCCGGACTCGCTCGGTTTTGCAGTTCGTGAATGGCGCTTTGGTGCTGACGGCACAGCTCCAGCACTCACATAATGCCACACACCACCTACCGGTATTCACAGCCCCTGAACCCGCATGCTCCTGTGTTCACCCCTTCGTCTCCAAATCCCTCAACCCCAGCATTCTACTCTACAATTCATCCATCCAACCGACTAAATGTTGGCCACATAAACATTTGCAGCCTACGACATAAAACCCATGTTATAACTAAGCTAATAGATGAGCACTGCCTAGATCTGCTGGCGGTTACGGAAACGTGGCTCGACTCAAGCATCTCGGACACTGAGGTTTCTGTACCAGGCACAATTCTCTTACGTCGAGACAGGCCGTGCGCTGATGGATGCACTTGCCTATCCTCCTGCACTCCATGTCGTAAAGGAGGCGGGATCTGCATCTTCGTAAAGGAACATGTTAAGGCTAAGCACATCTTGGACCACTCACACTCCAGTCTAGAGTTGATGTGGCTTAGAGCTGGCACAGGCAAAGATAGTACCTTGTTTGGTTGCATATACCGTCCCCCATCCGAGCCGGTAGAGTTTTGGAATCGGCTCGCTACATCCACCGAGCAGCTGGACGGCGAGAATATTGTGTTGCTAGGTGACATAAATGTGGACTTTCTGCGTCAGACGCCCAGTGCGTTCCACCATCTCAAAGACACGTTGCTACTTCCGTGCAGACTGGCCAATAAAGTAACTGAAGCAACAAGAATAACAGGCTCTACCCGCACATCCATTGACTGTATTCTCACGAACATTGATCGAGTTCCGTCAGCCTCTGTCGTGGACTGTGAGTTTTCAGACCATCGCCTCGTCATTACTTCCGTCCCAGTGCCCATCATGGATGCGCGGAGCAATACTACTACCCATCAAACACGCAGAGACTACCGGAACTTCAACGCTCAGCGTTTCTGCGATAGCAGCTGTCCTCCGATCTTCATATCTTTACACCCCGTACCCCAGACCTGATGTTGGACGAGTGGACAGGGAAAGTCAATGCTGTGCTTGATATCATCGCACCGTACGTAACCAGGAAACACAGGAAGTCCCGTCGGAAAAATTGCCCGTTCATGACCTCGCCCCTCCTTGCCTTGATTAGAAAGCGCAAATCGGTCTTCAAGAAACTAAAAGCTACTAACTTTCGAGACGAGAGCCTATCTGTACAATTCAAGCGGCTGCGCAACCAGTGCAATAATTTGTATCGACACCTACAGAATCTATACTTTTCAGACCAGTGCCAGCGATATGAACGGGAGCCTCGGCAGTTCTGGAAAGCCTTGAATATGATCACAAAGCGTTCCTCTCCGAAGCAAACGGTTACCATCCCACCTGAGCGATTGAACGACTATTTTCACTCGATTGTCACAGATAAGGAAGCGAATTACAAGCTTCCAATGGGACCTGCTAAATCCGACGACCTTACTACGTTTTCAGCCGTTACAGTAGCAGAGGTGAAGCTTCGGATCGGTGACCTCCAAAGTAATAAAGCCCCTGGACCGGACGGCATTCTTCCGTGTCTACTTAAAATATCAAAAGACGTAATTGCTCTATCACTTGCTATCTTATTCAACACTTCCCTCTCGTCTGGTCAATTCCCATCCTTGTTCAAAATTGCAAACATTACACCAATTCTGAAGTCAACTCAAGGCCCCCGCGACTGCCCTTCTAACTACCGCCCAGTGTCTTTAACATCTATCCTAGCCAAGCTCCTGGAGGGACTTGTGTTTTCTCGTATACATCTTTTTTTTAATGATCGTTGCCCATTCCATGTGGACCAGTTTGGCTTTCGGAAGCACCGTTCTACCGGACAGCTTCTCACCAAGGTTACGAACGACTGGCTTGTCTCGCGCGACGCTGGACTGCATACGGCGGTTGTCTGTATTGATTTGAAAAAAGCGTTCGATATGGTGAAGCATCAGCAGCTTCTTCTTGCTCTCGCAGCTGTCGGTATTTCGGGAGCGGCCCTGGCCTGGTTCCGATCATACCTTTGTGCCAGACAACAGCGGGTGGTTACCCACACTGGAACATCTCCGTTGGTGGCAATCACTAGTGGCGTGCCACAGGGCACCATTCTGGGTCCGGTTCTTTTTAACATTTATGTACGGAAGCTCCCATTGACAGCAGAGGCCTTTTCTTGCAAGCTCCCGATGTTCGCTGACGACATGACGTTGTATGCCAGCAGACGCACACAAGCTGAGGCCGTCGCTACCGTTACTGATTCGTTATCTGCAATTTCTGTGGATCTAGACGAGCTTGGGCTGCGCATTAATACAACAAAGACTGTAACTTTGATGATTTCTAAGTCTTCTCAACCCCTCTCAACTCCAATCGTTTTTAACCAACAGCCTCTGACTCAAGTGTCTAGCACGAGAATCCTGGGAGTCATTGTAGACAGTGATGTTTCTTGGTCTGGTCACATAGACTTTATCGTTAGGAAGACTTGCACGAAAATTGGCGCTCTTCGACGGTGTTTTCGGCAACTAAGTTTGAAGGCAACACGGCAGTTTATCCTCTCTGTTATCCTGCCTGACTTATTATACTGCTGCTCTTGCTTTGCAATGAAACTATCCGCCAAGGACCGACAGCGACTCTCGTCTGTTTATCGTCGTTCTGTACGCGCTGCTTGTGGCTCGAAACTACAAGATGACGTCATGCCGCTGTTAGCTAGATTGTCGATTGATCCGTTTGAACATTACCTTATTCGTAGCATTGCTAAATTTATCCATGTTAATCATGTCGTTTTCCCTCTCCCAAATCTGACGGACCTTTTCCCTCAAGTTTCAACCGGCCCTAGGACAACAAGAAGCTCTTTTAATGCTGCTATTGCAATATCTAAATTCCGGACGACTGACGGTGTCAATTCCTTTTCAAATCGTGCTGCCCTGTTCTTTAATTCTTTGCCTGTGGAGTGGCGCACCCAGCACCGCACTACATTTGCTAAGCACCTTCAGACCATGCTAAAAGACGCAGCGTCTTTTCAGAAGTATTTTGATCTTCTTTTCAGCAAACTCCCTCATTGATCTGCACCGCCTGTATTGTATAACTGTGTTTACTGCGTTCCTAGTTTAAATTCGTTTTTAAAAACATCTCTTTAAAGGGGAAGTTAAGGCAAAAATTAAAATTTCACCAGTTGTAGTCTTCGGGGTGCTGAGTCGAATGGTCTTGGTCCGAGGAAGCTGAGACGCTCCCTTCCTACTTGAATCCCAATCGAACTCGCGCACTTCCACCGAAACTGGGTGACTGCGCCCTACTAGATGGGGATTTGTATGCAAAATGTCACTAAAAGCGCCATTTCGTTCTTATAAAAGCACGGATGACCGCGATTGGCCCATATGTTGTAGTCTTTTGGACGCTGAGTCGACTGGTTTTGGTCCGAAAAGGCTGCGATGCAGCGTTCCTCCTTTATTCCCAATCGAACATGGTTGAAGAAGCGGTCACGTGGTGCTGGGTGCTCAAATCACCTGGTCACCACGCCAGCAGGTGACAACTTTCACACCAAGGTTCAACTCGAGTTCAACTCGAGTGACAGGACTGCACCCAAAAAAGGTCAAAACAGGCTAGTAAGTTGTACCCTGCAGGCACGGTGCCCAGGTGACTGGTGTACGCAGGAGCACGTGACCGCTTCTTCAACCATGTTCGATTGGGAATAAAGGAGGAACGCCGCATCGCAGCCTTTTCGGACCAAAACCAGTCGACTCAGCGTCCAAAAGACTACAACATATGGGCCAATCGCGGTCATCCGTGCTTTTATAAGAACGAAATGGCGCTTTTAGTGACATTTTGCATACAAATCCCCATCTAGTAGGGCGCAGTCACCCAGTTTCGGTGGAAGTGCGCGAGTTCGATTGGGATTCAAGTAGGAAGGGAGCGTCTCAGCTTCCTCGGACCACGACCATTCGACTCAGCATCCCGAAGACTACAACTGGTGAAATTTTAATTTTTGCCTTAACTTCCCCTTTAATTCTTGCATTATCCCATTATCCCATTATGACCATGCTTAAAGACTTTTCAGAAGTATTTTGATCTTCTTTTCAGCAAACGGCCTCATTGATCTGCATCGCTTGTATTGTATACCTGTGTTTACTGCTTACTGCTTACTGCTGCTTTATTGTTCCAAGTATCAGTTTAGTTTAGTTTAAATATCTCTTATTATTTTTATTATTTTTTCTCACCCCACACCCCTCTACTCTGTTATCGGCCCTCTTAAGAGTTGTGTTCATCACTGTTGAGGCTTCCGATGGAAAATAAAAGAATACTACTACTACTACTACTACACGGCCCAGCATCTGCAGTAGAAACACATCAAACGTGTACTGTAACAGTGTAAGTGGATTTGCAGATGTGCTTCCTCTTCGAAATTATTATTGTCTAATCCCATATGGTCTAGTGGTTAGGATTTCTGGTTTTCACCCAGACGGCCCGGGTTCAATTCCCGGTGTGGGAAAAGCATTTTTTTTCTTCAAAGTAGATAAACTAAAAAAACCAGAAAAAACAAAGGACGTCCCCGGGTGGGCTTGAACCACCAACCTTTCGGTTAACAGCCGAACGCGCTAACCGATTGCGCCACGGAGACCTGATGATGGCTTCTGATGCTCTCGCTTTCATGGACTTTGTGCCAGGGTAAGACAACTGACGTTACAGCAGGGGCGTCACACACGTTTAGTACTGAAGTAGTAGTAGAATTTATTATTTTACTAGGGAACTCCCAACAGGCGTTGCCTTTTTACTGAGAACCCCAGGAATGACTTGGTGCTTGTGACAAATGCAGAAAGGGGCTTAGCTTGACGACATCCAGGTGGAAGCATGTTCCATCTGTCTGCTGCCAAAAATGAAATAGCATTCAGCAGTAATGAGACGTAGCTCTGGGTAGGGTCAGAGCGGCTGAAGCTTGGGTAGCAGCATTTGTGCGGCATGATGCAGAGCAGGGGGTAAATAACGTGCTTAAAAGAGGACTGGTGTTACGACCCGTACTCACTACAACCATGGTCATACCACTTTTTGTTCCAGACGGTCCGTCCAATTCATCCGAAAAAGCAATAGAAGAGTGCTAAAACATACCCTGTTGATCATACCTAATAATAGCTAGCCATGGTACGCCATGGTAACACCAGTAGCCATGGGAACACCAATAGCCATGGCAACACCACAGTGGCAACCTCCAGCAATCAGCAAGAGCTGCTTGCAAGAGCTTTTTCTCCTTACAAGCCATGGTTTAGCAGCACAGCAATAAATACGCAGCTTACTGCACACCACAACAGTATAGCAAGGGAACGCCATTTACACAAATGTTGCCGATACTCAGGCCGCCGTTTTCATCGGCACATGCACTGTCAGGTTCGCGTGACATCGTCACTTCGGAGCCCCCCCCCCCCCACACACACAACTCAGATGAAATGTTGCCGGAATCAATGTAATTGGGTGAAGCAGCATGCCTACCCGTAACTCCTCCATGGATTTCTCCTCCAGGTCGTCCTCCGTACAGTCCGTCAGTAAGTCATGCTCTGCACGGAACAGACAACACAAACAACGTACATGATTGTACACACGTCGTAGGCGTAGTCACAGGCGCAGGCCGATTTTATACCAAAGAACATTCACACAGTCATGTCCTCACAAGTCACAACCATACAGCGTGAAGCTGGACACTGCAGATCAATGATCAGTTTGCAGCCGCTGTTCGACTGAGGCACACATTCGCCTTCAAATGAAGTATAATACGCCGCAGGCTTACAGAGGTGTGCGATGTTAGCAGATACATGCATGTCTTCTCTTTTCTCTCACCCAGCAAGCCACTTGGCATAAGCAAAGCTGTGGACTGTGGACAACGTTTTTCTGATTCATTTCAACACTGCAACATACAATACAGTAATACAGGAGCTCATGCTGTGATTTCAAACCTAGTCCGATTGAGCCAGGCAGTTCAGCGTATCGATCGCTATATTCAGTCCAATATCAAGAGTAAGCCTACATAAAGAGAATGTGAAACACCACCGTAGTGCCAGTCTGACTTGCAACCGAATACTCAGTTTGTTGACATTGTGTTTACAAGGGGCTTTGAGTCGTCACATAAACTCAGTACAACTCTGTATTTTATGGCCGCATACAGGACACTTCAGCACATTCAACGCGTTACTTCGAAAGCCTACGTCTTGATCCTAGAGTAGATGTTCACTCCCAGTTTTAGAAAACTCGACGAGCTGCACTCAACGTTGGGCGTAACATCAAGTTGTCCAAGTCACGGGCCGCCTCACCTCTGTATCAGTGATGACAACAGACTGCTTTGACGCAGGCAAACAAACACTCTGCGGTGGGCCAAACAAACCGTGTCTGCACAGTGCTTTTAAAAGTATGGATAGCTGTTCATTACTTAACCAGAATCCGAGGCAAAGCCAATGGGTTGTTCTACTTGCTTAGTTTTGCCCCATTACCATTGTTTGGACTCAGATGGAGAACCAAACTAATATTTAAAGAAAAGAAAAAGGACCAAGGAACTACAAGTTACGCTGTAATGTCCACTAGCACCACCAGTTACTAAACAATCAGATCATGCGATAACATTGCACGACACTGAACGACGGTACTGAGCTGATTGTTTAGTAACTGGTGGTGTTAGGGGACATTACAGCGTAACTTGTAGTTCCTTGGTCCTTTTTCTTTTCTATAAATTACTATTGTTATACTTCGAAGTAAATACTTCTCCATCTGTTGCTACATCAACTCCTGCATATCTCAAGCTGACGTGTGAGTGGCGTGCAGGCAAAGGCTATGTAATAGGTGCTTTCCAATGCAGTTTTGCTTTGCTGTGGTCTTCCGAGATGTACATGTAGTTTTGCTTTCATGCCTTTTGTGATGCCGGCGTGAAGATTTAGAGGGCTTAAAAACAAAGTACTTCAAGAGTTGCAAGTTATGCTATATTATCCACTAACACCACCAGTTACTTTACAATCAGCTCATACGATAACATGGCGCTCTTTTCTTCTCATACATTTATCCTCGGCTCTGCACCTGAAGGTAAAGTAATATTAAGTATAGCTATGGGAGACCAAGGATCTGGTAGGTAGCTACAATATGCAGATGCTGCCATGTCGATGTCACATGGCTCAAATCGTCTGCACTGGTAATACACACTTCTGGTGTAGCACGGACGGCTGTGCCGGTACTGATTCACTGCTATTCACTGCTATCCACTGCTAGTCACTGCTAGTCACTGCTATTCCCTGCTATTCCCTGCTAGTCACTGCTATTCCCTGCTATTCCCTGCTAGTCACTGCTATTCACTGCTATTCCCCGCTAGTCACTGCTATTCACTGCTATTCCCTGCTATTCCCTGCTATTCACTGCTATTCCCTGCTATTCACTGCTAGTCACTGCTAGTCCCTGCTGAACAGCTTACCTTCCTGTAGTTGTTCTTCAGACAGATCCAGTGGGATTTCCACTTGTGAGCATAGAAACACCCTCACTGCTGGTGTGCACTGCAAGGCCGGATCTAGGACCACACTGAGAACACACACAGCCGTGGACCGACACATTAGACTGGGTCTCTTTGGATACTCTGTAGCTGGTCTAGTGCGGTACTGAAGATTGTGATCAGACTAGTGCCAGGCATTTAGTGTAGACTTGAGAACACCCACCCACCCACACACACACACACACATACACACACACACACACACACACACACACACACACACACACACACACACACATATACACACACACACACACACACACACACACACACACACACACACACACAAACACCCGCAAATAGAAAGCAGTTTATGCTCGTATGGATATGGATTATGAAACTCCCAGAGTTTCTCTGGTTGACCTCGATGACCCACCAGCCACTTGTATTCACAAACAGTGCATGTTTCAAAGAAGATCAAGAATACCATCACTGTCAGTTTGTTGGTCAGCCTGTGACTGGATGTTTGGGACAAGGTGGTAAAAGAAACTCACGTCATAAGAAGACCCTGCAATCGTCTCATGTCTTCATCGCTATCTTCGCTCTAGGCCGCACAACAACAATGACATGGACAGGCACACACAAAAATTCCAATGATGTCCGGACTCCGGGCTACGGAGCAAGGAGGGCTCAGACCCGGTCACAATCGGAACTTCACCACCAGTTACATCTAACGTTATCCAGGGCAGCTGATGCGGGCGCTGCCGGGCGTTTTGCCGCATACACCAGGGCCGGCGGAACCGTTCCGGTCGGTCCGGCCATGGCCGGACCAACTTTTCGGCCACCGACGATTTTTTTAGGACGCAGTAACGTCATGTTGTGATCATCGATTGTACATGTACGCGTACTTGCGATCTCGCTCTGATCTTGCGGTGCACGCATGCGCGCTTGAGGGCTAGCTGTGGCCTGTGGGCCTATGGCGTGAGTCACGCGACCTGAAAGCATGTGCCATGATGGATTGTACATAGTAATTTGTAGTACTTGAGGTTTTTCGTCGAGTGCTTCAGATTCTTTTACTGAACGAAGTAGTTTTTCAAATTTGTCTCGCTGTTTGGTCAGCTTAGCCGAAGTGCATGCTTAGCAGCTATGGCTGCTCACATTCAAGTTTCATCCGGATGGGGTATGATGGGTCCGGCTCTGTGGGCATGGCCGGACCAATCAACAATTGCTTCCGCCGGGCCTGTCACGCTGTACGTGCTTTGATGAGTGTGTACTACATAAGCTTTGCTGCATGTACAGGCGCATAGCACTGCCATTGGAGTTGGTCCGGCTGGAGGGGGGTTGGGGGGGGGGGGGGGGGGGCGTTCTCCGGGACATTTTTTGAAAATAGGGTACAACATCCTGAATTCTGGGCACTTTGGGCATTGTGTTAAAAAAAGTGATGCGGCCAAAGTCGGACGGGCCGGAGCAGCTGCTGCGCCCCTGACGTACACTGCATATGCTTTGTTGAATGTACTGTACAGTCTATATGCGAGCATCGGTATAACACACAGGAATACCATGACGGAATGCTGCAAGGTCACACGGTCAGAAGTAAGACGCTAGGCACTACTTCAGTAGGTCATACAGTGACAACTACACGTGACTGAACGGGTCACTTCGTTCTGTTTCCCCTTCTTCCGTAGGTATGTGCAATGTAATAAAAAAAACCCTTGCCAAAGCCTACCTCGCCGAATGGAACTTGGAATGATGAGCGTCCCAGTCGCTTGCACAGCCACTCAAATTCCCGCTGGGTTCGGCGAACCTTGTTATCCGGTTTGGCGTAATAGGGCATGCCCGTCTGTAGTAGAATGTGGAATGACAGGCCAATAACAGTGGCAACAGAGATAATATCTCTGTATTATAATACAGAGATAATATCTCTGTATTATAATAATAAAACTCAATTTTCAAAATGCATTTCTCTCAATACTGCCCCAAACTACATATAGCCCCCCCCCCCACCTTTTCAGATCTGGAGGCTCATATAATACACTGTTAGCATTGTAAGTTTGTAACTTGACCTACTAGTACTTGGCCAGGAGACCACACACCGTACACAACAAACACACTATCAAGCCATAAATGTATTAGGAAAGTTCCAATCGGGCATATCCAAAGGCCTGGTGTCCCACTGGGTGCGTTCGATTACGCACTTGAATCGATTCATGAATCTCGCCGTTCGATTTCAGGTCATGAGCCCTGGAATCGATTCGGAATCCATTCACCCTATTCACATGGGGTGATGTGAATGGCGCGAATCGATTCATGAATCGATTCGCGAGGATCATCGAACGCACTCACTGAATCCAGGACAGATACGAAGTAGAAATTTCCAGGGTCGGACAATCTGATAACTCCACAACCCTAGGGCAAGCTTCAACTGGTACCACTCAGCTACAACACTAATCTATTCACATTGCACCTTTCTTGGAAACAAAACTATAATTCGACTAAAGAGCAGAACTAGAAAGCTCCTCACAAGCAACATTTTGCGAACTTTCCACCAGCACTTTCGTTGCATTCTCTTCCTCGCCATGCAGGTGGATACAGCCAGTTATGAAACTAGAGCAATATTAATAAGTGACTACAATGAGATGGTTATAAAAGCACTCCAGTAAGAGAGCTAGTGAGAATACATGGCAATGCCTTCAAAGGAGACAGGAAACTCAACAATGCATGGAACGTGCTGATTTTAGCAAGAAGAAAGAGGCACAGGGGATGAGTGCAGTGCCACTTCACAATACACATTGCATGCATACTACGAACAACCGTGTAGCACTGAATACACACTACCTTGAAGATGACTTCATAGCTGACACCGTCGACACTGCTAACTACACCTCTCACTAGAGCAGTTGACAGTCCGCCACTTGGCCCTGTATGCAGCATAACACACACACACACACACACACACACACACACACACACACACTCACATCAACAGCATACACATACGATACACAAAGACACACGCACACATATGCATGTCACAGACATACAAATGAACACATAGATACACAGACATACAGGCACACACACACACACACACACACACACACACACACACACACACACACACACACACACACACACACACACACACACACACACACACTGCTAACATTGGTACAAAACTCATTACTGACTCACTATGAGCTCTGATAACACAGAGTCTTGATCAAACCGAACACTGTAGGACGGGTACCGGGTGGTAAACTGGCAACTACAGTAAAACCTGTGACTAACGACCACCCCTTGGGGCCAGAGAAAGCGGTCTTTAGTGGCAGGTGGTCCTTAGTTAGAGGTTTGCACCGCACAACCGTAACGTGAGACCATCCGTGCCTGACGTAGTGGTCTGTAGTATCAGGCTGGTCGCTAGTCACGGTGGTCTTTAGTTACAAGTTTACTGTACTTGGAAGCAAGGGGATTCCCCCAAGCAGTTCCTGCATGCCTATCCTGAGACTTTGTGCAATGCAGAGTAGGAGAAGCACAGTAACAAAAGTAATATCCAGGGTACGTGTATTAGACTGGTATACTGTAAATAACACGGGTCGTTGCCCAGGCAACAGCCAATAGCCGGCTCTCCCACTGCGGGCATGATCAGCTCATCATGCCCGGTTGACGCCATTTTGGGAAATCGCTGTGTTTAGAAGGTCGAAAGTTTGACCTAGCGACTATCAACACTCGTTACTTGAGTAAGAAATCAAATCAAGCACGCCCTTCGCCGGTCATGATGGCTGAGATTTTGCCCTTGGACTCGGCCCTCGGGCTGCGTCCTCGGGCATAGTTCGGCCAATATGATCTCCAGATCGTGCTTGATTACATACTAACTGTAAACATGTTACTTGCTAGCACTGCATGCTGAGGTTGTCTGCTACCGCCACCAGTTCGTTTCCCTACCCCATAATAATATTATACGATTTCCGAGGAGAGGTAACTCTCTCCCCTGTACTACGTCCTGGGTGTTGCTACTGCTGTACTGTTGCTACTGCTGTACTGTTGGTCTAACTGAACAACGTAGACCTGGCTGTCACAGTCACCATCCACCACATCACGTTTTGTAGATTGAATGATTGTCAGTTGATTTGGGACAGACATGGCTACCAGCAATCACGAGCCAAGCCCCAGCGCAGCTACCTCTTGACCACTCTACGGTCTGAAACCTAGACTAGAATGGGAATGATTATGCCTGATTGTGTTTGCATTCTTTTCTGGATGTCAACCATGATTTTGGTGTATCACAAAAAGAAACATTCTCTCCCTCATTCTGGGTGTCCGGCTATAGGACGAGTCACTCATACTGACCTATTCCAGAAGCGGACGACGCTCCACTGCCACTCTCGGCCATCGCTTAGCGCCCCCACGGTCAGTGACAGCGGTCGTATAAATTCAGACGCACGCTACAAGAAGTAGTACAACTGCATCAGGCAGGAGGCTGTATTTTCATTCATTTCATTTCAAAACTGTTTGAAACATCATATCCGCGGACAACTGCGTAGGTGCGGGTGCGGCACGCACTGAACAGTGAACTACACTCTGTAACTGCAGCTGCACCACCGACCGAAACGGCGAAAGTGGATGGTCAGCTCTGTCACTGTACTGAGTCTCAATCAATCATAGTCACAATGTGTCAACAATACATCAGGTAATGCCAATGGTATGCGTCTATGGATGCCTTTTAATTTTTACCATATTAGTATGATAAAAATTAAACGGCATCATATTATTATGACTGTATTGTATTTTATCATCCATAGACCATAATTATACCATAATAAATTATATAATCATGTAGCCTAGGACAGGGAAACTATTGCATCATACTAGACTAGTGCTGAAACGATTATATCGATTACTCGTTAGGGCCTGGTCAGAATGCGGCAACTTTTGGTTGCCTGACGAAAAAAGAACAGCGTCCAGAATTTGAATCGCGATCACACTACACATGTGGGGAGAATGAAAATTCAAACTTCATTTCGAGCGTCAAGTGGTAATCTCCACGAACGACGTCAAATTCCTTCACCTTGGGATCGCCAACACCTTCAGTGCAATCCTTGAAACCATCCTTATGAGTTTTGTTGTTGTCCGTGGCCAATTAGCTCCTCGATATCGAGATGAAAAAATCAGTGATTATCAGCGTCAATGGCGTATCAGCGTCAAATCCTGTTTGGAGCGGAAAAGCGTGGCCCGTTCTTGCTTTTTTTTTGGAGCGTCAACTCTCGCTTTTGCCGCTCTGGCGGCAAGTTACTATGGAGATTCGGATTATAATCCTAGGATTATTTCGATTTTGCCGCAGTCTGACCAGGCCCTTATTACTTACTCGATAAGAAATAGATCGAACGGTTATTTCGATTTTATCGGCTAAACGAGTAGAATGGTACATGTACTTACGCTCAGTGCGGGATTTCCCCCCTTTTGGGGTCGCACAAAGCGTGCATGCATCGAAAGTGTTGCGAGTACGACACGAATATGTACATGACTGTACACTTGCAACATCGATGTACGTGTAAAGTACAAGCGCGATCTGAGAAACATCGACGTGATCACCGTCGCCGTCTTTTGAGCTGACTACTTTTCTTACCAATCCCGAAAAGATTGCTGGAGGAGAGAGAGACTTTTGCTTGCCGAGCTGAAGCTAAAGGATTTGATGAAATCCTGCCAGCAGCTAGTCAAAGGACCTTCGGTACCTTAGGCAGACCCTGACGGAGTTTGGAGGCCAGCTAGCTCTCGGTGAGGAGAGAAACATTCGCGTGGCGATCGACTCTCCGTAAAAAAATACAAGCTACATAGCGCCGACATACTGCAACAGCTACGATTTCAACTAACTTCTCGATCTGCTGTTTAACAAAGTTCAACTATTATCGCCGTCGTCTTCGTTCTTATCGCTGGAGACATTCTCCCCTTCCAGGACCGGCGCATAGTTGTCGTCCCGGAGGTAGAGACTATGTTGTCTTTCGAAATAGTTCTTCATCAAGCTCGCGCGAATGATGATTTTCATCATGAACTCGTTCCGACGTTGTGACATGGCGATGGTCTTTGGCGGGGCACTGGCTTGGCGAAAACGCAATCTTCTTGCGCAGTAGAACATTGATCGGCTGCAGATGAGTACAGTTACTTCGTGCTTGGTCCTGTTGGAGAAAACCTGACAGGAAAGAGGCAAGACTCATCGAAGACGAAGCGCTCGCAACAAACAATGGCGCTCGAAATATCTCGTACGATTTAGGGCCTATCGCTTTGAGCCACAGCGCTCACAGCCTTGCCTACTTCATCAAAGTGAGCTCTACATGTTCGTTGACCTCTTCACACTACACAGAAGAGCGAAACAAGGATTATGGCTTAGCATTTCAACTCCAACAGCAGAACATTATCAGTGCGAGGGAGAAACCCACACAAATATTTGCTTTCTGTCGGATCGTCTCTCTTGCATGCAACTAACGAGAAAACCGTGTACTTACCCCCGCATTCACACGCAAACTATCAAACACATCCTGTGCTGATCGGGTAGTGCCATGTATACAGTGTACTCTCAGGTGACATGCCCCCTTTCGAACCCAGACGATCTTTTCGGGATTGGTCTATTAGTATGGGGCTGTTAAGTGATGACGTCACAGTTCCTTCGATACGCATAGCAACGATCCCACTGGGGACAAACAAAAGTAGCGTCGTCTCCACCGAACCAGTTGTCAGTGGCAACATATAGGAATCGTGTACATTTCTTCGTTTCTTCTTTGCTGTTTTCAGTGAGTGTTTTGTTTTCTCTTTGTCCTTGATCTCGACGGCGTTGTCGTGCTCATTACCTTACTGAGACGTCTCTTGTGACTGTAGCCAGTGTCACGGAGGATTTTATTGGCGTGACGAGGTAGATCGCCGAGATCGAGCGTGAAAAACGCTCTGCATTAGTAGCTCCTGTAGAATGTCTTCTGGGATGGCGTATCCATGGTCAACAAAGCCAACGTGCAAGACAGCATAAGAGATCGTGTAAACGATGTGAACTCCAAAAGGTAAGCTCCTGAACAAGTGGAAAGATATGTGTATTTACAAACTCTCTCTTCATCCATCGATTGCCGCTAAGCATTGCATTTTGTCTTCACAGATAATCTGGACAAATAAATTATATTGTAACTGGAGAGTGCAATCGTGCTTGGGACCCATCCCAATGTCATCACATGGCTGTGGTGACTAGTGTATACCTGGGAGAGTTTTTCCTCAACTGAGACGGAGTGAAGGTGGATGGATTATGAGAAATGCGAAGATGTGGAGTAAGTTGTGTCGAAGAAATGTGTGATAAAATAAAATTTACTTTACACTCGAACATACACTGTACATGTACCTGTAACATCATGATAATGATTCCATCTTCATATCTCCGCAACAGGTACGCCATACGCACCAAATACATGGTGTGTGTGCACACGCGCGCTTGCGTGCGCGTACATGCACACACTCTCATGCGTGGCCGAGTTGGCCGGATGAACAGACCACGCATTTGCACGAGGTGTCCGTCATGTCATTGGAGTGCTGTACTTTATGACTCAGGGGCGTAGGAGGGGTTTTGGAAGTGGTACGACCGAAGGTCGGTGCGGCGGAAGGCCGTGTTGGAGGGGGTCCGGTCCCCCCCCCCCAAAAAATTGGGTAAAAAAGACACAAAATCCTGCGTTCTGGGAACTTCTGGCACACTTCTGGTGCAGTGTGCAGTCAAGTCGAGTACAGTACTCAGTACGACTGCAGATGCATAACAGATCTACGAGTACGAGTCTAGAAAAAGGTCTGATGCGCATGTGCAAATATCGATGGATCCTGATTTTTTTATTACGGTTTTGCACATTCCAGACGGACCACACTTTTCGAAAAGTGGTGCGGCCATGGTCGTACCAGTCGTAGCGGGTGCTATGCCCCTGTGACTTTATTCCAAAATAGTATGTCGTGCCCCTGTCAAATGGAGTTTGTGTCTATACTCAGCGGGTATCGGGCCATGACGCCACACTGCAGTTAGCGCTGGAATTAAAATAGCACTTCATGGATTATTTTAACAAATTTCCTTTGCGTTTACTTTGTTGAGCCCGTGGTTCATTTCTGTGTTCTGTTATGATTGGCCTCTGGAAATAATCGGAGTGGATGTCATTTTTTTGTCATATGTGTGTGCCTTGTGCAACAGGTTCAAGGCTAGATGCACTTCACATTCGGCGTGGGATCTCGGCGTCTGGGACCTGATAACGTCTTGGTTGGATGGGTAATCAAGGATGATACTACTCGGCACACCAATGTACATGTCAATGTAGTTTTTACTTTTTGAGAGGTGCACTATTTACGTCTTGATGCTTACTTCGGTGCTAGTGTCGTGTCCGTGTGTTGCTACAATGTCATTATCTGTATTGTATTCCGTCTGCTTATACATGTGTCTTTATGAAGTGTTTGCCGTGGCGGCGATGTGTCTTGTCGATCAATAGTGTTGTGAAACCTATCACTATTCATGCTTTGCTGGCTACTCGCTCGCTCCGCGCCGTGCACGCTACTAGGTCTTGTAGTATATAGCTCGATGCTTTGCATCGATCGCTGGTTGTTGTTGTTGTTGTTGCTTCTCTGTTGTTTGAGCTTGGTCCCGGAGTGAAGCTTTGATCTTCTTGTGTGGTGAGGGTGAGGAATGGGTATCTGGATTCCTGGTATATTTCCGTAAAGAACCTGGAATTGTAGAATCCTGAGAGTATGTCTGACCCACTCCCCGGTCATGACATTAGCGTGTTTCCCCCGGATTATTTCTATCATCCTGCGTGTTCTTGGGCTGAGCGAGCACATGCACGAGTGTGCAGCTATAACCCTGTGTATCTTTGGTTACACTTTGTTCTGCAATGCATGTACCTTGTAACAGTCTGTGCTTGCACTGCTTTGTGTGGCCTGCGTATTTCAGGACTATTCAGTGCATCAGACCCAGGTTGGTTTGGTTGCCGGATGATCTCTTGTTGCGTCGCTCTGTGTTTTGTATTCATCAATTTTTGGGCTTGAGAATTGAGCTGGTGTGTGGTTCCCAATATGAAAACATCATGCTGGTGCTCTGTGTTTCGATTATCGACTGTCCGAGCAGTCACGATTCATTGCCAGAACGGTCAATACTGTAGTCTCTTCACGTGTTTGTGTTTTCGCCGGGGGAATTAGCGGTGACGTTGCACATAGAACGGCAGTGTTGCATCACTGGACGACCCTGCCTCTGCATCTGACTTCATTTCCCCAGGATCTGGTGCAGATACACCAGACAGTCACTTCCTGTAAACACGCAAACAGCAAAAGAAGAGACCCCGCAAATCAGGAAAAACCATTGCGGAAAATATCGAGTAGATCATACACCATTCAATAATTTGGAGTAATTACAGTGAGACGAACACTTCAAACAGTGCTCTCCCTCTCTCCATCAATAATTTGGAGTAATTACAGTGAGACAAACACTTCAAACAGTGCTCTCCCTCTCTCCATCCTTCCAAAATACCCTGTAACAATTCCCTGGAATTAATTTATTTTATATTCTCAGGACATCATTCTGAACAATTTCTTCCATGGGTCTTCAATCACCACGGAGGGCGAGAATACAGCTAAGTCATGCAGTCTATGGGAGGTGCGGGCTGTCATGGATATAAAGGCTGATATTGTGCCAGCGTGAGGGCAGAGACAGAAAGAAGACACTGATATCTTGAACAACTCACCTACATATAATCGAATCCACAGGGAGCGCTCGTACTTTGATCCATCAGGAGGCGAAGAATCTTCAAAGCACTCTCAAACACAGAGTTTTACAGTGGGCAGCCAATTTCACAGCCATTATGAAGGCCCTCGACGACTACAGGAGATTTGTAGAGTAAAGAACAAGGAGTACAGAGCGACAACAATCGCTTGAAGAAAAAGCAAAGAAAAACTGCTCTCTCTCCAGTCATGTAGATGCTGTTGCCCTTCACAACTGGCTCCATCCAGAGGACGCGACTTTTGTTTGTCCCCAGTGCTCTCCGTTGCTATGCGTATCGAAGGGGCCGTGACGTCACACTTAACAGCCCCATTACATACAGCATGCAGGACGGGCAGGCTCAGTATGTGTCTACACCAGCTGCAGGGGCTGAAGTTCCCTCCACGTGCAAGTAGTCTTGAGCTAAAGACAGTATTGTGGTCTTCAGTTTCATGTTTTCCGTTCTGTCGATGGTTCCAGAACCAGTTTGCTCGACGACGAGCTAGGCCTGGCGTCTGGGCCTATTTTGAGCATAGACAGGAAAAGCAACTAGTTACTTGTTGGTGCGCCGCGCGTCAGCTCATCCGTCGAAATCCACCGATCTGCACCCCTGGCCGGCTTCTCTGACTTCATCGTCGGAGTCAGCGAAGTCACAGGCGAAGGGCGCCATCAGCGCTTGGGTTGCAACCAGTGAGTTGCCTCTGTCTTGTCTGTATTCGTCTGGTCAGTCCGAACAGCTGACAGACTTGTTGCGGGAACATCGGATCTATGCACCCGCTTTCCGTCGTTGGCGATGTTGGACTCGTAAAATTTTGAAATTCACAGAATGTACATGATTGTACTGATGTAGTTACAATAATAATCGTTTAGCCGATAAGCCGATCGTTATGGTATCAGCTAAGCCACTAAGGAAAAAACGTAATCGTTTCAGCACTAATACTAGTACAGTCATACAAATAATTATGAGGAAGACATACTAGTACTAGTATTGCAGTAGTCATTTGTAGCAACACTAACGGTGTGTGTGTGTGTGTGTGTGTGTGTGTGTGTGTGTGTGTGTGTGTGTGTGTGTGTGTGTGTGTGTGTGTGTGTGTTTGGTGGTGGTGTCTTCATGAAACTGCCGGGGGTGCACGGACTCCCAGAGTAACTTATAATGGAACGGTTGCGAGCGGGAACTTGTATTTTCTGGAGCTGCTTGTGCGCAAACACAAATAGCACCAGCAACACCTATTATAGGAGCGTCGGACACGCTACGGTCACTACGGTATTGGCCGCATCACTCTTTGTCCTGGGTACCCTGTGAATCTATTACATGCGCTGATCGGGGCTCTAAATTTCTAACATTTTCCAACACAGGAGCCACCCCAACCCCAGAGGTAGATTGTACTTCAGGTGGCTGACCGTACCACCTTGAAATACCTTCAACCATCCTGCTTGTATTGGCACAGTCACACTGGACCACTGCGGGCACGGGTATTTCCAAAAGCAACAGCACGGTGTGCGTCATTCGCCGAAATAGAAACTCAAACCGACCAATAGAACTGCTTTCAAAACATGCAGATCCTGTGCAGATCCTGTGTAACCGACTCAAATAAAATTATAAGTTTCCGCTCTTTTTTGAAAATTGGAATTTAAAAAGAAAGAAGATAGCAGAAATCTCCATCAAGAGAGCAGGGCGCTTTGGAAAGAATAAAGTTGATTTCCGCACGACTCAACAAGTCATACGAGTGTTAGTGTGGAAGGACATGGGTTGATGCGGCGGAACGGACATAGTCTGCGGGGCGAAAGCGTCCAACGCGCCCATTACGTGGCGCAAGCAGGCGAGCAGATTGGATGCCTTGCGACGGCCATCTTGCAGCGCCTCCTGTTGCTCCACCGTATCCGGCGACTGAGCAAGTACCTTTAGCAGCGGCATGACATCAGTGATCAGCGCTAGGAGAAAGCTGTTGCCTTCCGTCGTTTGCTGCACGTGGATCGGTGGTGCACCGCCAGTAGTACTATTGATGTTGGTTTGGCTCCCTGACACAGCGGTGCCAAAGTACAGGCGCTCTTCATTGGCAATAGCCAGGGCACCGCGGCCTTCCGGCGACTGCACACGATCTGCACACGCGCACCAGAAGTACGACGGCCAGTCATTGCAGCCAGGCAGGCATCGGCTCTGCGGTCGAGCCGCATCAAACCGACCGACCGCCACAACCTTGATGTCGCCTACAACGTCCCTGGGCACTCCCAGCTCCATGATGGACTCCAGTACCATGCGACTGAATTCGCGGATGTACTCGTGGTAAGACAGTTGGATGTGTCGCTCTTGCAGGGGAGACATGGCAAGTATGTTGGCCATGGTGAGGGTGAGAATCGCAAACTTCCACACCTCCTCGCCGAGGGCATTGGTTATGATACGCAGCGTTTCTTTGGTGTCGTACGTGAAGCGGGTATTGATCAGCGACATACAGACTAGAACAACGTCAATGCCGAGAGTCTCTCCGGGCTGCTTGTGCCGGTCTATGCTCTCCTTGACTCGGGCGAACGTTTCCTCCTCTAGGTCGTTGCCGTCCTGAGCGCCCTGTGTGTCCCAGACTTTGACTTTGATGGAGTTGAACTCGGTTTCAATCGGCTCAACACTGTGCTGCACTGGGTCGATGCAGTCCTCTCGGACTGTGGCTACGTTTCGGCCGAGTAGCGTGTTGATCAGCGTGGACTTGCCTTCTCCCGTCTTGCCCACCACCAGTATACGCAGCACGTAGTCACGGCCACGCTGACGATTCAGGCGTATCACGCGCAGCAGAAACTTGCCTCTCTCCTCTCCCAGGCACGGCAGATGCTCCCACAGTTTCGACTCTTCGCAAGCCTCCACACTCTCCACACTGATATCCTGTAGTGGCACCTGTACCGTCATTAGCGGCGCGTGCCGTAGGGTGTTCAGGCCAGCAGCAAAACAGCCATGCACCATGTCCCGTTTGTAATCACGCGGAGGTAGAGGTGGCGGTGGCCGCGGAGGCTTACGTTCCGCTTCGGGCGTGCTGCACCACTGGGGGAATTGTGAATTCTGATGATACGCTGCACCAGTATTAGCACTGCTGCCAGAAGCATGGACCACACCGCTCCCACCAACCTGCTCACCGTGTACCTGTAGTTGTTGATGGTCTACGTCGATAGGGTGAGGCGGCGGTACGGACCTGGTTGGGTTCTGAAACTCCATAGTGCCAATACACGCATGTTCATCCATAAACGGTTGCGGATTCATTACCATCTGCTCCTCTAGACCTGTTCGTTGCTGGTCAAGTGTAGGCATGCATGTTTGCAGGTCCATACTGAGCCCCTGCTGATCCGTGTTCGCTCCAGCGTCCATAAGGGCATGTTGCTCCATGAGCGTCTGCTGTCCCATAACCGTAACCGGTTGCTGATCCATACTGCACTGCGCCTGGTCCACACGCTGCTGCGGCTGCTGCTGTTGTAGTTCGTGTTCCGCAGCAACCGCGTCGTTCTCGTAAGGTGGCTCAGGCTGCCACGGTCGGCCTTCTTCTTCTTCGCCGCCGCCGCTGCTGGCGAAGGTTGCTGCTGGTGGCGATGGTGGTGGGAGCGGCAGTGCCCGGGCGTTGAGCGCCTTCTGCCTCTCCTCAAACTCCTGCAAGACCTGACGCACAACGCCATGAAACGTAGCCATGACTCCCCTCCTGCTGCACTCCAGTACTGGGTCGTCTCCTCGTCGGACACATACGCGCACGACGATCTGTACCGGACGGTACGGAGCGCTGCGGAAAAGTGAGCAGGTGAGGCGACTTCACCACAATCATTCATAGTCATTTGATGGATGGGTGTGACTCTACGGAAGTGACAAGAAGGCCCAGCTTTGTGGCTGAAACCTTTATCGCTGCGTCGGGGCGGTAAGCTAGAGAAGTATGGATACAGTTCGTCACATCTCACCACGATCATGACATGAGGATGAGGGGATGCTTCTGCGCCTTGAAACGCAATGGAATGCAATGGGTTTGCAGGAATGATTAGCACAAATATTACACCACACGTCCGTACCGGCAAGCTAGCACACGCATAGAGGTCCGGAACGGACCGACGTCGACAAATCTACAGATCTACGATCATCGTGATCATGACGGCCCGGCAGTCGTTTTGGTTATGTCCACAACATGCGGATCCACAAAGTCATGTCTAGCCAAGGTCTACCTGGTGTATCATCTACCGGAACTAGCGGAAGGACTACGCGTAGACCTAGCACCTACGACGGGTTGCGCGGAACGCAGGGCGCGCGAAATCGATCGCTATCATTCGGACTTCGTGTCATGTCCAGCCGGCCGGGAGTTGCAAGCGTTGAAAGACTACAATTATTGTAAGTAGTTAGTTGGTCGCCTTGAAGCAGTGAATTAGCTCCAGTCCAGTAGTTATTTGGTGCAGCTTTAGCGCTATGTGGTTTATTATTTTCCTTTTTCTTAATTTCGTATTTAGCGCTTTTGGGCGTCATTATTTTCTTCTCATTATTTCGCACCAAGTTATTATTTTGTGGTATTCTCTATAGATCTAGCTTCTGTTTGTTTTGCCGTTGTTCTTGTGCAACCCCCCCCCCCCCCCCCCCACACACACACACATTTTTCGATGCCTAGTTGCAACGCTGACGCCGAGACCTCTGGTCGGTTGAGTTGCTCCCAGCACATCAGCACGTCGTCCCTACATCCCCTATGTTTTGTACTTTTCCTCGTTTCTTTTTGTTCTCCACCTGTTTTCCAGTAGGGCTGTGTCAATAGTAAAAAAAAAAAAAAAATTTAGCTAGAAGTAGAACTGTGGTGTCACTGCTGCTGGCATGCGCTTCTGATATTTTGAATATCGAAGCACTGTGTCTGTGGTGATCGAGGAGGGACCATACCAGGGCGGCGAGGAAATCCAGGTAGCGGAACTACACCCTGGTTTGGTCATGCACTAATAGCTGCAACATAAAATATTTCCAGCGCTGGCCAATGTTGTGTATCTGACGAGCAGTAGAATAGTACCACCGCACTACTACGGTCCGGAGGTGCTGCGTGAACAAAGTAGTTACTTTACAGCTTTACGCAGTTGAGGCTGGGTGACAATTCGCATTTCGGTTATGTGAGCTCAGCTGCTGGTTCTGTTTGTGCAGTAACGGCTACATTCCGATCAGCAGTGTGGGTTTTCTTCAGAAAACAAACAGACTCGGAAGGAGCTCGTTGTGGCTCCGACCGACACCATAGGGCTAGGTGCGGACAGGAAGAGAAATCATGACCGAAAACGAGTACGCGTTCCCCTCGGCTCGCAACCACCGTGAGTTGACGTCGTTGTGGAAAGATTTGGAGACGGAGCAACCTATAAATATCATCGTGGTGGGTAAAACTGGAGAAGGGAAATCCACGCTGATCAACAGTCTGGTGGGGAAAACCGTGGCCAATGTGGACAAGTCTAGTTTCGCTGGCTGCACTAAGGGTATCCATCCCGTGATGGGAACGTTTGGCGGAGTTCACGTGACACTCTGGGACACGCAGGGTTGCCGCGATGGCGCGCAGTCCGAGACGACCGTGTACGCACAGCTCCTGTCCCGGGTCGGTCCCCGTCGTGTCCACGGCGTTCTGGTCTGCGTGTCTATGATGTCATCGCGTATCTCCAAGGATACCATAGTGACTCTGCAGCTGGTCAACGAGGCATTCGGGATGGGTGTATGGCAGCAGTGTGTCATCGTGTTGACCATGGCCAATCGCCTGGTCTCGGTCTGCGAAGATGCGAATGGCTACATCCAACCGTCGGGCCCCTGGTCGAGCTTCCAGCAGGGATTTGACGAGTACATTCGTAAGCTGCGGGAAATACTCGTCGATCGTGTTCACGTGAGTCCGGCTACCGTGCACGCGCTTCCCTTTGCAGCGGCCGGTGGCAGAATGTCAGCCGCACTGCCTGGCATACAGGACTGGCGCTGGACGGTGTGGAAGGTGGTGCGGGACCAAGCCAGGAGGTACCATAGACTCTGTGAAACTGCTGCTGCCAGTGCTGTTGTGAGCGGCAATGAGATGCCCGGTTTCACTGGCCTCATACCCGGTTGTCCCGTGCCGCCGTTCCCAGAGCCGTCGCCCATGCCAACGCATCACAGCTCGCATCTGTGTTGCTATAGCAACGACGCCGGGCTAGTCCGCGTACTTGTCATCGGTGGACCGGGCAGTGGCAAGTCGTGTCTGGCGAGTACGCTGGAATGCAATGCGGTGGCCGCCAGTCAAGGAACTCTGGTGGACGCACCGCTGCTAACCAGCCGTACCGTCAACGATTTGCTGGCGCAGTGCCCGTTTCACAGTGTGATTGTGTGCGTGCCTTTGCCAAGTCTTACCGCCCACCTGGGAGAGACGGTCGAGGTACTTCGCATTCTCCTCAAGCTCTTTGGCCCGGCAATGTGGAGGAAGCTTGTCTTTGCCTTGACGTTTGCCAACATCGCAAGCGAAGCAGTCAGCAAGCAACGGCGGCTGGGTTTCTACTGCAAGTTGTTGGAGCAAGCGAACACGCTCATCAACAAACAGGTCCAATCCCTTACTGGCAAAGATATGGGCACTCTAAAATTGCCAGTCGGCCGGCATCGGGTGGGTTTCAACAGTTTAAAACTGCCAGACACACGTGACTCGTCGCTGCGCCTGTGGAATGCCTGTGTGCAGCTGGCGAAGAAGCCCACCTGAATTTGTTCCACACTTGCTGTGTTCCTTGCACCCTGTGTGCTCACATTGTTACAACTTGCACACTCAATGAATCATATACGACAAGTGGTGGTATGCTGCTGGTCCGAGGGCCAAAATTGAAATCGGATCGAGCTGGTAGCGTATTGACTTGACTCTGAATGCATACCGGTAAATCCAGCAACACAAGCTATACAAATAAACTTTTTTTCACTGGATATGATGAGACTGACAGTGGTAACACGATCCTAGAAGTTGACATTGTGTGGTTAGATCGTGTTCGTAAGCTGCGATGACCATCAACCGCTACTACATCTAACAAAACCTTACAGACCCACATGCTGAACAAGTGCTAGCTTTCTATCTTTGTGCAGATGCAAAGCCGGAGGTGGATTAGGCGTGCTGATAATCTAGCCAGCTGTGATTTAACTCATCCCACATGGATTTGCTGTCGACGCATGCAGCACTTGATTGAAAACAGGACATTTGACAGATATTTACCGCCCTTTTCTCCCGAGAAACGATATTGCATTGACTTTGCCACACCAAAAGGAATCTTGGAAAGATGGCTATTGAACTGCCCAACGACTGACACCCCCTGAATCACCAAACTCTGGGTGGACTTGGAAATGATACTAGTGTGGGTGGCCAAATCAGAGCGGATCTGATATAAACTTCACTGGCACCATTGGTTACACAAGAAGCAGTATTTTGTAAAAGCCATATATATAACGAAGTGCTAACTCTAACGAGTTAACGAGGAGACATCTGTCGTTAAAATAGAAATCGTTATACAGAAATCGATACATATACTGTCCTATTGAGCGTTGAGAATGAGTGAAAATCGTTACCTTTGGTACACGTAAACTAGTCAATTTTGGGAAATCGTTATATATGCGCCTCGTTAGAATAATGGCTTTTACAGTACTTCAAATAGAAAGTATACGAACCCTGAAACCAACAAAGGTGGCAAGTACTTCAGTAAAACATTACACCTTCAAGCAGCCGAGTCTATTGGCAACAGACCCAACACTATCTGCTATAAGTGTACCCAACAACCAAACTAGCTGGCACACACACACACACACACACACATGTACCATGTACCATGTATACACCCGTCGCAAGAGAAGCACGCAAATCTGCAAATGCACTGGATGTGCACCCACAGATTTTCTCTTTATAGCAACGATAGCGGATCTGATTCTGATTGAAACAGATCAAGACAAGCGCCAGATAACTGTCTAATCTACACACACACACACACACACACACACACACACACACACACACACACACACACATAGTGACACACACGCACATGCACACACATGCACAAGCACACAATGTCATCTAGTCTTGTAAGTTTCCACAGCCTGTTACACCCACAGATCTGCAGTGCGAAGTAACTAGTTTCAAATGAATAATTATCCAGAATATGGCAAGGAATATTAATGCAGAGAGGTAAGTGCAACTAGTTGCTTGGAACAAAGCTGGAGATGTCTCGATCACAAACGACACAAAGCAAGGTACTTGTAGCCAGTGGGCCGAACACACGCACACACACACACACCCACACCCACACCCACACCCACACACACATACACACGCATACTCTCTCTCTCTCTCTCTCTCTCACACACACACACACACACACACACACACACACACACACACACACACATTATGCGCGCGTAGTACGCCAGCAAACATGGCCATATGGGTTGATGTATCCATACAGCCACGCCGCGTAACACACAAACACAAAAACACACACACACACACAAACGCGAACGCCGGAGTGCGTGTCCTTTATCCACGCAGTCTACTCTCGTCTGCCTGGTTGTTGGATGTTCCTATTTCCGGCAGCTCCACGTGTGTTTGGGGGCCGATTCTCAACTGCAGGCTGTGGCTTCTCGTGGAAAACCTTGACTGCCTCCGTTGGCGAGAAATCCTTGCTCCCTTTGGAAACAACGTCATTGGTAATGAGTTTACCGGCTCCATCCTCGGGTGCCACGGCTGGATCGACTTCCTCAGCTGGAGGTAAATCGGCCACTGTTTCAGCAGCTGCTGCAGAGTCCGCTGGCGGAGGCCGTTTTGTGGCCACTCTCATCCCACCAGCCTTCACTGCCGGCGGATGGCCAGCCTTCAATTCAACATTACTTGGAGATGACATGCTTCCTGAGACCTCACTGGCCAGAAGAAGCCTCTTCGGAGCCACTGGCTGGTTGGGTGTTCAGCATCCGGCTACAATGCATTGCAAAATCATTGGGCTTCTAGTTCTACTACAAAATGTAGATTCGCGTTCTCAGTTGAAGTGGCGTTGAGAATCAAAAACCGCTTTCTGAACTTTGAACCCAAGCCAGATTTAGTGAACTTTGAACTCAAGCCAAGTTTAGCAAATTTAGCGATTGCGGATATTTTGCGGCTGTTCAATTTTGCAGCGCTCCGAGCTACAATTATTATATTATAATTATGTACTTGAGACAACAAAGCTCGTCAAGAACCCAGATGCAGAGAGCGAGCAGACTGCGTCGCAGTGCGTGCGTTCCATGACTTCCTGCAAGCAGAGTCACCGGCTGCGTACACTACAGAAACCTGTCTAAGACGACCGCTCCGAAAGGGGACCTTCAAAACGTGATCTCTGTTACCAGGTAGTCCCCTTGAAGAACTAATTACTTGCTTTCCTATAAGGATGCTTTGAATAGAACTATAGAGCGCATGTGCACAGTGAGCCTGCTAGAACTTCATGACAGTTCCAAGTAGCTAGTTTTAAAAACAGGATCGATCGGAGGTGGTCCGTCCGGCCCAGGAGCCTTACACCGCGGCAAAGTTCGAAGACTCTTTTCGATATCGGTTACTGTAGAGTGTAGACTGATGTATAGATTATAGCATTGAAAGATGGTGACCATGGCCATGGTATTTTTAAAAGTGGACCGTCGGAGGGGGGGGGGGGGTCCTGGCAGGGGGGGGGGGGTCCTGGCAGGGGGGGGGGGGTCCTGGCACGGTCATGTCAATTTGATTCTGAACGTGAGGTATTTCCGGCCAAAATGAAATGGCTGTACCGATGATGCCAGCCTGGATTGCAATGCACTGACATGAGAAGCGGAAATATCTTGAATGACACTACGCATACACGCGGGAGTGAAACTTTGTTGCAGGAGCAGCAGTGCTTTCTAGACGTAAATCAACTTGCCAGTGCCGTAACTCCAATATCTATTTTGACATCGGACCGACTTTGGACTTGATCGGCAGCCTACAGTGCAGTCAATTTACTCCATCCTGGGCTTCCAATCGAACAAAACATAGGCATGCACCCACTGCACAGGTCATGTGTACCCGACACACACACACACACACACACACACACACCATTGGACCATTGGACGCCCATCGCCGGAGGCGATGATAGCGATGCTACGGCAGAAGCCATAGCAGCTTGTGCTGGGATTGCACCATTCAACAGCTTGCAAGGCTGAAGAATTGACCACCACTATTCAGACACACACACACACACACAACCACCACCTCCCCCCCCCCCCCCCCCACACACACACAATCACTCTGGCAAAGTTTGCACTTCGGAGTTTGAGCCACCGGTGCAATCTGCTAATATGCAAATTACGCATACTGCGATGTACATCATCAGTTGCACATCGACTTGCACTCGAAACTGTTTTAAAATGGCTGCAGCAAATCCAGGAATACTATGTTTCAAGTGCAAACATCCAAAGCTCATACCGTATTTCCACAAATAGTAGGCCGGTCTACTATTTTTTCAACCTCGTCCTAACCCGGCCTTATAATCGAGGACGGTCTTGTATTCGAGGACGGTCTTTTATTCTTTCAACCCAGTTGGCCCGGTCTTCTATTTCTCGCCACACAGTTTTACCCCCGTTCTTCCATTTTCTTCTACACAGTTTGAGCACGGTCTTCTATTTTTTCTAGTGGTGAAACGAATATCATAACCCAGTAGCCGAATATTCTTCGGCTTAACGAACGGACAAACGAATATTCTTTCGTTAACACGGATGACATCACATGCCTTCCTCTCAGTCATTTTATTGGATATTGTCACTATTATTAGGCATGACGAACGAAGGCATATATTTCTCCATCATTTCTAGGTCATTTTTCACAAAAATCCACAGCTGAAGTGCCTTTCACAGGCTCAAAAAACAGCTTGAGCTTGAGACGTGATTTTCGTTTGAGCGCCATACCTCCCCTCCAGGACCTTGGATTGCGTTCGGGTGGCTTCTAAATAACAGCTGAGAGTTTGCTAATGCCGATAGTCTTTCAATGAAGCGATTCGGTCAAGTATTCACGAAGTTACGAAAGTTTGAAGTCGCCCGGTTGATTCTGCATACCGGGTTAACGAATATTCGCTATGAGAAATATTCGTTCGAATGTGTCAAACCGAACGAATATTCGAACATTCGATATATTCGTTTCACCACTAATTGTTTCCCACAGTTTGAGCACGGTCTTCTATTTTTAACACAAGAACAAAGACTCATTTAGTAGGCCCGGTCTTCTCATCGGAGACGGTCTTTTATTTTTTCAATCGCCCCCTGCCCCGGCCTTGTATACGAGGACGGCCTTTTATTTGCGGAAATACGGTATATAGGATTTAGAGTGAAAGAAAAGTTGCATTCCCACCGAAACTAAAAACATTTATACCCTGATCAGTGTTCGGCAGCTGCACCAAAAGTAGAAAGTACTTGCAAGTACCGGTATACAGTGAGAAAATAAGGTGACCAAACATTGTTTGAAAGTTGAAACCATGGCAACATCATGCAACCAATCATATCAAGAGTTTCGCTCAGAACATACTGGTAAAAGCTGATATTGGAGTTCACTGGGCCTATGGTAATCAGGTGTGTGCAGTGGCCCACATGGTGTTGGCACCCCGGTTTCCAGCCCCTACATGTTGTAGCTTGCCTTGTCCGATGTGTTGTCATGACGAAGCCCAGCCAGCCGGGCACTACACTGCATGTACAGTCAGAGTCGGCAGTGTGGTCAATTACGCCTTGTGAGAACCGTACGCTTGATTGGACGTCTTGTAGGAGTTGTTATTGGCCTGGACGAACGGCGGATCAAGCTCCGGCTGATGGCAGGGAAATGCACGGACTTCGCGTTCTGTCAAACACGATAAGCAGATGGAGAACAATGTTGTTACTTGTTAACCCCATCACTAGTCCAGGAGACATGAGCATATCTTGCAAGTGTAGTCATCACATCATGTATGTGTAGTCATGATGCCATCCATGTGTAGTCATGACATCATCCATGTGCAGTCATGATGTCATACATGTGTAGTCATGATGTCATACATGCGTAGCCATGACATAGCTAATAACAAGAGTGCATAAACAAGAGTATGCAACTGTGGTTATGGCCCAGTGCGCGGCGCGCTGCCTTCATTACGTAACTTGCTTTCATCACGCTCTGAAAGCATGCATTCAAACTCACAATTTCTCCTACGAACCCATCCGTTTTTGCTCGATTCGTTCCAGTACCTACGCGATCTCTGAATTCTGGCGCGTGAACTCCAGTTCCGTACGAAAGTTCATTTCAAACCAGAGGGAAAGTGCGGTGTTTGATTTTCCGCAGTGCGCGGACTGCAGCTGAATGATGTAATGAAGGCAGCGCTCCGCGCATCTGGCCCATAGAAAAGAGATCCGTTGCATACTCTTGTTTATGGACTCTTGCTAATAACCTTAGTGCTCATGCAGCCCCCTCCTAAAATCAGTGTACATTGTAGTCAGGGCCTTTCAAGGCTTTGTTGGGCAACGGGTTGCAATTTTAAGCAACGCAACCCTGCGTGCTTTGCAAGTGAATCATTAAGCATGGAAATGCAGGACTCATGTGTAATACGTTAAACTTTTTTGACAACACAATCGCGAGTGAGTCAAATGTCAATCAGTTGCCAGGAAGCTCAAGCTGCCACCATCTTTAAATATAAATATAACCGCCGAAGTCTCAACATCCTACTTGGAAGTACAGTAAAAAATTCCGTAAGACGGTCGCCCTAATCCGGGCACGTCTGCCTACCGGGCACCTTTCTGACCCCTCTAGCCTCACAAAAATGGCTTTTCAACGGCCCCAAAACGGCCGTTTATAGTATGGCATGGTTGGGAGGGCAATAATGGATTTACAAAGGACGGGCTTTAGACGCGGGCGTTGGACTGATTTATTGCCCGCTCATACAGATCAGTCAGTGATTGGCCCAATCCTAGGAAACACTCACGTTACATGTGATAAAAAAAATTAATGTTTACTTGCATGTTTGAAACTCGGATGTTGAGCCATAAATAAATGTAGAAAGGAAAAGGACATAATTATGGATACGAGTTAAGAGTAACTCTCCATCACTGTAACTGTAGCTTTTGCTCGTTTTCGTTGCGCTTGCCTTCCCCTCTTTGGTCTTTTCATAACCTTGAACCTTCCAAGTTGGAAGGCTGTCGGTTAGCGCTACGGAGATGTGTTGAAGCTAGGTGTCAGGACGTCGAATGTCTCAGTACTCTTGTCAGTTTTGTGCCTAGTTATTGCACTTTCTGACTGTATATAGTATCCAGTTACAGTGATGGAGAGTTACTCTTAACTCCTATCCATATGTCCTTTTCCTTTCTACATTTACTTGCATGCATAAGTTTTAAAAGTGTGTATAAAGAAAGTGTCTGCATCGAAAGTCAGAGCTCGCGCTTCCTGCCAACTGACTTGACACTTGATTGATTCACAACTGCGTCTGGAGTCAAGTGTCAAGTCAGTCGGCAGGAAACGCGAGCTCCGAAGTTCGGAGATGACACTTTCCTCACCAATTACCGCCGAAGTCGCAACATCTTCGTTCACTAAGGGTGTATGGCCTGAGTTACGGGCAATTCCTAGTTACGGGCAGTGCTCATTCCCCTGAACTTGCCCGGGTTCAAAGTAGGGGAGTTTTACCGTAGGTTGTTCTCCCAAGCCATTGCTTGTGTTCCAGACAAGACAGTACTAAGTGATAGGCCATCCATCATTATCAAAAATCATCAATTGTGCTTTGCGTCATTTTTCCTGCTACGTTTCGAGATTTTTGGAATGAAAAAGAGCATATAAAAGCTTCGAATTCAAATGTTGCCGTGTGCATTCATTCCCAGTAGCAGCAGCAACAACAACAACAACAACTTTGCCGCCTAATATGCACGGTTGAGAGAACAGGCCCGCGGGACCTGGTCCGGTCGGTCAGGTTAACTCCGGACCAATTTGTTGAGCCATCAACACGTGCTGAGTACTGGAGAGCCTGTCATGTGTATCAATACACAAAGTGACAGTATGAAAGGCCACTATATTACCAGACCAATCAAAAACCGCTTCCGGCGGTCCTGGAGAATGTCGAGTCTACTTACTTGCTGGTTCCGCCTTCAGACAATCCGGTGCTGGCTGATCACGTTTGCCGAAGGACTTGTCATACGTCGACTGGAAGTAGTGCGATGTCTGCACGAGAAAAGAGAATTAGAGCAGTGAGTTAGTAACATAATCATACACTATGTACTGATGGTTCATTACGCAAATACTTTGAAGTACGATTTTGAAGAAAAGTCTTGCTATGTAGGATTCTAATCTTTCAGCTTCTAATGATGTCATCAGTGATTAAATCACTGACGAATGACGACATCATTAGAATTCTATTGAGGTGAGCCTGCCAGTATTACACTTTAGAAAAAAAGGAATAGTAAACATTGCTTCCTTCCCCGTATTACAAAGAAAATGTTCATTTCAACCAACATGGCTGAACAAGAAATCACAATGGCCACACCAATGAGGAAACCTTCCTAATGATCAGGTGCAGCATCTCTTGAACCCATACCACATCAGTATCACAACATCACCCAGAGCAGTCAATGCATTTCTTCGGACTTGGACTCCCGGCCGGTGATAACATTCCGGGCCATGAATGGCCCAGGTTTGAGGATTCAAGTATTAGTTCAAGGGGAAGAGGAATTTGGCATCGGCTGTAGCCACCTTTTGTGAGGACTGTGCTAGACCAGGGCTCCAGCCAAAGGAGGGTGCGGGGGGGGGGGGGGGGGGGGCAGCACCATCCTATCGAACAAAATAAAACAAAAACTTGAGCGCCTCTCTCCCTCCCCACTAGTCACTCTTTTCGTTTTTGTGTTTTTTCATGCCATTCAATGAAATGCTGTCAGCAGTCACTACTAGAAGGTTCATAAAGGCACACTTGTCTGGGGTGAAGTTGGTGGTTCGCCCCGAACGTTCCATGTTGCATGGCAGGACAAGTTTGGAAAATAGAAAAAATAGGGTACTGGGTAACTGTTTCAAGTCCCATGCCCGCCCCCTACTATTGTGACCTGGTTAGAACCCTGTAAAAGAAGACTAGGAAAAGTAGAGAGTGGTCGAAGATGTACATCATATTTCAGTATGGTAAACCATGACTACAGTGCATTTCAAAACTATAGACGCGTAGGGTTTTTGAAATATTTCAAATTTGGCTGGAACTTTTTGAGAATAGTTTTCGGAATATTGCTCAGGATCGCTCCACAATTACTCTCATATAGTTTCTAAAGGATTGGATAACAGACGCCCAATTTGGAAAAATTTATGCACAAAGTGATCACAGATTTTATGTGGTATAGATGCTGGCATAACGGTTTTTGCCTAGGTACGCGTCTATAGTTTTGAAATGGACTGTAGATCAGGGGCGTAGCAGACGCTCCGGCCGGACCACATTTTTTTTAACATATTAAATGCCAAAAGTGCCCATAATGCAGGATTTTGCACCCTAGTTTCAATTGTTTTCCCACGGGGACATCTCCCGCACCCCCTTCCGGCCGAACCACCTCCAACAGCGCTGCTACGCGCCAGTAGATGGGCATGTCGTTGACACACACCATGCTCACACATACCCCCCCCCCCCCCACACACACACCCACCCACCATGCTCACACATATGTACATGCACACACGCACGCATCCACGCACACACCTGGTCCTGGTTAACACTGCCATTACGGTCACGTGTCCCCTTGCGGGGCCGACAACATGGAACGACGAGCTACGGCAGAAAGTCGGCAGTCTGCCGAGAGGTCAGGTACCATGTTCAATTTGCACGAAGAGAGAGCCATCTCTGGCAGCTATGGATTTGGAAGCCACGAGTAGAGCGGCAGCACCGACCACATGCCCCACAGTGCACACACACAAACACACTCATACACCTGTCCTGTCCTGTTGAGCCACTGCCATAAAGGTTACGTGGGCCCCGGAGGGGCAGCTGAGAGAGAGGAGGAGCACACAGCCCTGTGACGATCCAGGTGATGCATACACACACACACACACACACACACACACACACACACACACACACACACACACACACATACACACAAACACACACACACACACACACCTCTTCCTGCGAGCTTCCACAGTCCGTCAAACTACACAGGTCCAAGTACGATACACTTACTGGTAATTCAAAAATTGGTTGAATTAATGGAATAACTATTTGGAGGTGTCAAATGGATCAGCGGCCAGAATCTGGCAGGGAATATGGATGCTGGAGGGCGGCAAGTGCATTCGGAACAACGCAAACATGTCTTATCATAAAAAGACACCAATATTGTATCAGCATAGCCAGTGCTAGAGGGCTGCACGCACACGCACACACACACACACACATGCACGCACACACAAATGCACACACACACACACACACACACACACACATGCACGCACACACACATACACACGCACACATATGCGCACCACACACACACATGCACACACGCACAGACGTGTGTGTGTGTGTGTGTCACGGCTTATACCCGGACACTTTGACGTTGACGTACACCAGACGAATGGAAATATGACAAGATATACAGCAGCTGGTTACGGATAGAACACGACGCGTTCAGCATAGTATCATGCATAAGATTCCGCTATGCAAGTTGTTGCCTCATTACAGTTCATCACCTGCAATTTACCAGCAGCAAAACTGTGCTCCACTCCGTTCCCGGACTTTCTTGCCATTCGCAAATTTTGAAATGTTTCTTGTTGGGGTCTTCTGAATTTCCATACTTTCCGTTATCCGCGCAGTCTACTCTCGTCTGCCTGGTTGTTTGATGTTCCTATTTCCGGCAGCTCCACGTGTATTCGGGGGCCGATTCTCAACTGCAGGCTGTGGCTTCTCGTGGAAAGCCTTGACTGCCTCGGTTGGGAAATCTTTGTTCCCTTTGGCAACAACACCGCTGATAATGAGTTTACCTCCATCCTCGGGTGCTACAGCTGGATCAACTTCCTCAGCTGGAGGTAAATCGTCCGCTGCTTCAGCAGCTGCTGCACCAGTGTCTGATGGCGGAGGCCGTTTTGTGGCCACTCTCATTCCGCCAGCCTTCACTGCCGGCGGGTGGCCAGCCTTCAATTCAGCATTGCTTGGAGATGACATGCTTCCTCACCGATCAGAAAAACCTCTTCGGAGCCACTGGTCGGTTGGGTGTCCAATACCCCGTTTTTTCTGCGCGTGCTGGCACAGACTCAACTCAGTCCTTTGCACGCGGGTTCACGCCTCGACACGTGGGGTGTCTCTCTCCACTCCAATGCCACGCTGGGGAGCGCTGACACTAAACGGCGAGTGACCGTTCTACAATTATTTGTAGCACTACCTCTAGGCTAGCACTCTCTCTCTCTTTTCCTTCAACGATAGCAGGCTGAAAAAAGCAAGCTCTCAGTCTCACTCCACAGCGAAGATCCAGATTTTTTCCGTCGAAGATGTAGAATAATGATCTACACTGAGTCTGTAGATACTAGGGTACAATCATACACTCATACTAGTCATAGTGAGTCATAGCGTACATGCATCAATCATCTCCTCAGGCTGTAGCCTGGCTGTACTCTTGTAGATCTACCATGATGTAGAACACACACAGCTCACAGTCGACCTGTCTTCAGTCGTGCCCCGTGGTCTGATCTATCTGCTGATATGCCTGCGACGAACAGCTGAGTTCGCGTCCCTTGTTTACGACACAAGCTGCTAGCAAAGTGTCATCATGATCACTTACACAATCGTGCACAGATCAACGCTTTGCACCAGACAGCAGACTCTTTTCTCCGCAGCAGAGCGAAGTGCATGTTTGGGCTGAGTTCGGTTCATTCATGTCTCTGACAACTCACTGCATGATAGATCATGACGAGTCAAGAGGGAGAACTAAAGCTAAGCGTGATCATACCTGGTACGACCGTACCGTGTCGTTCTCCGTAGATCTACTTCGTTCTTTCTGTTGAGTGTTGCGCCTTGTGGCGAAACCCACCCCAAAAGGCATCATGACAGATCGAGTTATTTCGAAACATCAATACATGAATGATCGTAGGCAACACCACGTGCACGCCCCTGCCCTGGCCTGGCGCCATGGCCTTGCTCAGCTCAGTGACCATGGTGACAGTGGCTGGCGAAAACTGTCGTGTAGTAAAAATAATAATAGGCTACTGTAGACATAATAGATGTCAAGCCTCAAGCCGTCAAGGCCAAGCTGCAAGCAAGAGTATCTACGTGGGGTTATCATGGTTACATGTACAGGTATGTACATGATTGTACTCTTGCTGCAAGGCGAGGGATCCGGATACACGCGTATGATCCCACAGCAGAAGGGCAATGTCTCTTCCTAGATCCTGAACGGTTTGTTGCTTATAGTTATACATGTACAGTCATGTACTTTATCACTCTCTTAGTATTGACTCCCATTGATTTTCGCTAGGCCTTAGTCAGTCAAAATATTCCTGCATAATTTCACTCTTTTTAGGCGGCTACTGCCTATTTGACTGCTTAATTATGGGTTGTGCAGTTGAACGTGTCGTCGGTGCCTAGTGCAGCACGGTCACTGCACGAGTAGGTGGTGCAACGGTTGTGCAATCATAAACAATTCATGAGGTTGTCGTTCTGGAATTTGAAATACGGACCGTTTGTCGTGATAAATCGAATATTGACTTCGTACAGTAAAGGAAATAAAAGCCGAGTAAAAGACCTCGGCTTTTATTTCCTATATTGACCTCGTACCCAGTCAATATTAGGTACATACATGTATAAGCAATAAGTAATTAGTTATACATGTAGGACTGCAGACGTTCAAAGAAAAGGTCAACGCCCACCTGCGCCTTACCCGCTGGGAGTGGGCAACGGACAGGCTATGAATCAAAGAAAAAAGATGAAAAAAGCTCTAACTTTGTTCCCTCCTCCATTCACTTCGTTGACTCTCTGATAACTTTTATCGTGCATACTTTTCCCCGTAATCCCCAGTTATCTACCCCCCCCCCCCCCCCCTCTGCGTATTTTCTGTACTCTTTTGTTTTTGTGGAGCGCTTGGGTTGCAATGAAGCCGAGACCCTATGGTACCCGTCAAGTGGGTACAGCCAAACTGTACTGTGCTGGATTAGCACTTTGTTAGTACCCACTTGATGCATATGTCTCACTTCATTCTTACAAAATTGAAATCACACTTGTGTATCCCAGTTTAGCCGATACATGTACTGTAGTACAGTCAGACCTCGTTTGCCGGACGGTCCGGTCCTCTTTTATCCGGATCCCTCGCCATCCGGAAGAGAATCGTTGGTTACTGATTTACAGCATATGGCATGCACACATACAGCATGTGTTTTCGATTATCCGGTTCCCTCGCCTATCTGGATATTTTTTGTGGAAAACGGATGTGTGCGGTTAAGCGAGGCCTGAATGTATAGCGGCCGTCGTGAGTTCCCTTCGGGAACGGACACGATAATTTATTTATTCCCGTAGCTATGCAAAAGACGTTACTTCAGTAACGTCTGGCGCCAGCCAGGGTCCGCACAGCTTTAATTCCGTGTTTGTTTATTTGTGTCGTCGGCATGCCTGGCGCTATCCCGTACCTGTCCTGTATATGTGTATATCCCTTACACACGGTGACACGGATACAGACAGAACGTGAGATTCTAGTGCATACTGAGACCATGTCACTTGTGTTCCTGGCGGTGTCCGATAATCATTATGGACATAACCAGTCATTGCGGACATAACCATTGTGGACATAATGATGACGACGTGATTGATCGGATGACGACCCGTGCACTAGCACACAACAGGAACACACACACACTGACAGAGCAGTGAACACGGCTGAACTTGTCTGTACGGGTACAGTTCTGGCGAGAGGAATCCAACCTCATGAATATAAAGTTGCACAGCGTCCGAGTGCACACACCAGTATGTGTGTGTGTGTGTGTAGTGCTAGGGCTGCGTAGTGTACACACCAGTGTGTGTGTAGTGCTAGAGCTGCGTAGCGCCCGGCAACGCTATTATATTCATGAGGTGTTGGATTTCTTTGACCAGTACTGTACATGTACATAACCTCTCAAGGGTTCGCAAACTCAATTCCAGCCATTTACACAGTATTTCAAGGCTCAGTCTAAAATCACAGGGAGTTATGTACATGTGAACGCGGGTTTGTGACAACTCCCTTGGAGGTGTGAACTTGAGGGTTTATAATACAACTCCCTGGTCCCTTGAAACACTAGCCGGCACAATTATGGTCTCTCTGCTGCAAACGTCACATCAGAATCACCAAATGTTTCTGCCGTGGCCCAGTGTCAGGGTGTGTCATGGAGTGCATGTCACTGAGAAACGTACAACAATGGAGCTAGCAGGGCTACTTGTTGCCCCCCCCCCCCCCCAACACACACACCTTCACGGGCAAAATGCGGTACTGTAAATATACAAATTTTCGGCAGCTATTTAATTTCGGCTATATTCGGCACCGACCCAAAACGCCTAAATTAAAACGCCGATGAAATTTTTCACAGCATCTGTTGCACTACATGTATACCATGCCCTCTACCCCACGCCGAAAATAAATCGCCGCCGAAATGTCACAAATTGTGAGGTGCCGAAATTTTGCAGCGCCGAAATTTTGTATATTTACAGTATAATAAGTAAGGACATACCATGATGCCCCCGCCCCCTCTCTCTGTATGATGGGCTGTACACTGGGTAATGTTGAAGGGAAGAAAGGACAAGTCTGCACAGCCGCATTGCACTTGAACCAGCTACATGTATACACAGTGCACAGTTGCCAGATCTGCATCACAGTATCCACTATGTGACCGGACACACACACACACACACACACTATGTACCTATAAGTGGGACTACGTCATGTGTCCTGGCTTCCCAAGTACATGTACCGAAGTACATGTATGTAGATACGTGTATGTAAGCACAATCAGGACAGAAGTGGTGCCTACTGCTCATTTGGCTTTGCAGTCGTATGAGAACTTACTCAAAGGATGAGAGAGAAATGAATCGACTCTCACCTGTACTCAGTGTCCGCTGCTCTAGGATTTCAAACCAACCGGGTACACGTGTACCCGGCACAACTCTCGCAACCGGGTCAGTCCCGGGTACATTCAAGTGTTGCTATTGTACAACAGGGAGTCTTAGGACTCCCTGATTGAGTCCCAACCGGGTCACAAGTGACCCGGAGTTCTTTTTCCAAGCGGGTACAAGCTCCCCCCAACCGGGTCGCTAACCGGGCTGACCCGGCTCTGGAGCAGACACTGGCACTGCGACCATACACTACTACCACTGGTGCTGTTCAGGCATGCAACTAATTTCTTACTTCTGTCACCGCAACACTCAAGCATAAAAACAGGTGATGATGATGCAAACATAGCATACATGTTGTTGCTACCTCAGCCCGGTGCCGCAATCCGTGAACACAACGGGTGACACAGTGATCTGGCTAGTGTGGTACTCTACAACTCCGTACCCACGGCGGGAACAACGAGCCGACCCCCTCCTCACTAGCTAATAAAGAACATAACATTATAGTAGTAGCTTGACTTGTTCTCTCTGCCGTAACCATGACCACCATTACCGGGATCCACGTATTGCCCAGGGTTCTACTTGTAGCCAGTGGGGGGGGGGGAGTAGGGTGTGCAGCTGGCACAAGACAGGGCAGATCGCCAAGGCTGGGCAGAGTGTCAATGGAGGAAGGTGCTTCGTCATCGTCGTCCTCCTCCTCCTCCTCCAGAGTCAGCGAAGAGTTTTCAAAGCAGGTGTGGACTAACATTTTGCTGGTCGGGTGACTTGAATCGTCACTCCACCTATTGCTCAGCTCGCATGATATCATCGCACTATGGTCCACGGTGTGTGTGTGTGTGTGTGTGTGCGTGCATGTGTGTATGTGTATGCGTGTGTATGTGTGTGCCCAGTGCATTTACAGATGTGCGTGCTTCTCTTGCGACGGGCCTGTACATGATACATATGTATGGTGAACTAATTAACTTGTATGCATAATGTTAACTTCTATTAATAAATAAAGTACATAATCATTGCATTGCTATTGGCAGATGCCATAGAAACTCACCTGAGCAGGTAGTGTAGGTTCCCGCGCTCTGACTCTCACATCTTGTCTATCCTCCACCCAATTGCCCATCAGAGCACCGCCAGCTCCAGTGCGATACCGCTCATCGTTCTTCGTAGTCCGCCAGCCGAACTGCTCGAACTTTTTCGTGTCCGTGTGATCCCAGATTTCCCCCTGCGTTGTCGCTTGCACGGAGGACTGGAAAGGCAAGGTTGTGTCCATGATTTCCTCTATCACTCTTCACCTCAGCGCCTGTGACTGTGTGTATGCCCTGCACTGCACTGCACTGACTGCTTAGTGCTAGCTGTGGACAGCCACTAGACTGTCTGTGATTTGACTGCTGACTCTGCTGTGAGACGAGAGTAGGTGGCCGGTCGGTAGCGACGAACATCAACTAATTACTTGATGGATCGAGCTGCTAGTAATACCATGGACCAGTGACCCTATCAATAACACTGCGGACAGTAAAGACCGAAGTAAATGAAGGCAAAGATATTGCTGAGCCACCAACAACGAGGTTACTTTCCGTTGTCACTACTATACTCTACCTACAGTACTATGTAGACGTAGATCTACACTACACTACAATGTCATGTAGATCATGGATACAACCTCAGCTCGAACGGGCCAGCCCGGTCTCTGAATGAAAAATGATTCAAAAAATAAAACCATCAAGCAAGTCACTCTCTTTTTTTATACGACTCCCTGCTCTTTACTTTTGTCAGTACTCAATCGCCTGCACAGGCTGCAGACAGACTGCCTGGCGAGGCTAGCTCAACCTGTTACCATGGTGACCAGGTGACAGGCCAACCGCTTCTACTACAAGTTTACAAGTACAAGCAACCGACCCAAGCAAGCAAATCTGCTGCTCCGATCCGGGATCCGATGGCGATGCACCGATATCGAAGAAACGGCGCAGATTTTTTTACCGCTGCTCGTTCTGTTTTACCATGTGTGACAGTAGGCTCCTCGTATACCTGGTATACGAAGCTAAGAAGGCGATCGTGTCCTTGCTCCGACTTGTCATCCACATCATCCAATCACCGTTCTGCTGTTGCCATTCTCGTCGCTCTCTGGCCTCGCCGGAGTATTCGTTCAGAAACAATAGAATGGTCCAGTTGAAGAACAGTCCGTCGACGTCCTGATCTCGTAGACCTGGAACCTAGCCATAGAAACACAATACATGTAAGTCATTATCTGAATAGCTAGTGCATGGTTGAGCTATCCCGTATCCGCATGTGTGCAGTGCATCCCGTATCCGCATGTGTGCAGTGCTAGTGGGTACAGATACAGCCGACCCGTGGTGAAGCGGCCCATGGCCGATATGGCGTGCAAGGAGAACACCAGCGATTGTTTCCCACTGCCAGAGCGTTCCCAGACGGTAGATTTACACACTCCGGATGACGATGACGATGGTGAGGAACGCTGCCACAGAGCCAGTGAGTCAGTCGGTACAGATACGTCATGCCAAGAATCCACTGCTCGAACAGCCGAAGACGCACCAGAAAACAACATACCCGAGGCAGTACGCAGATTTCGAGGTTTGTTGATTGATCGGTATGTCAGCGCTACCGTTGACATGGGAGAAGGTATGGTGGACGAAGGACTAAGTGAGCCGAGTGTTTCAGATGTACAAGTTCAACTGATCATTTTGTCTAGGCCAGAGCTTCTGCAGGAGTTCAGGAATACCAGCTTCGATACCGCAGGTGACATGTGGCGTGTGGAACACGTTTTCACCAAAGCAGCCGATAGCTTGGAGAACATCTCGTTGGAAAGTCTTTTCAACCTGAGTGATGAAGAGAAGCTGGAGTTCACGAGTGGTGGTCGGACTTACCGCATCTTAGCAGTCGCCAGTGCTGGGTGCGGTAAGACCTTTGTTTTCACGAAAGTCGGTCCGTTGAAATGGGCTCGGAATGAGATCTGGAATGAGTTCGACCTAGTTGTGGCGAGGCAGCTACGTGACGAAGAAGTTCGGAAAGCGAAAAGCATCTGTGCTCTACTGGGCGTGGAAGAGCTGGGAGAGTTTACGAGTGATGAGCGCAAGAGTATCGACGATTTTGTGCGCCGACAAGCGCATCGAGTCTGTCTTGTATTTGATGGTCTTGATGAGATACGCCTGAGTGACTGCAGTGGTTTTGTTCGCGACATCATGAACGGCTCATCAGTGAAAGGACTCCGTCTGGTTGTGACATCACGGCCATCCACAGAGCTACTGAGGCTATGTGACAGGAAACATTTCGATTGTCGTGTCGAAGTTATTGGTTTCCGGAAGGAGGATATTGATGTGTACATCAGGAAGGTGCTGAGATCAGCAGAAGAAGCATCTGCCTTGATAACAGCCGTGCACGATGACCAGAACCTTGCCAGCATGATGGCCACGCCATTCTTGGCCATGCAGACTTGCAAGATGTTCCACTGTCGCAATCGCACGCTACCCCGTTGCCTTTCAGATATCTTCGAGATGATGATCGTCCAAGTAGCAGAACGGCGCATGGATGAGTCCTACAAGAAATGGAGTGAGATTCCTGCTGATGTACAAGCACTGATCCTTGAACTCGGAAAATTGGCATTCACCATGCTTTGCAGGAAGCAGCTGATCTTCACCAATGCCGAATTGGAGAAGTACTCCATCACCAGGGAAGCCAAATCACTAGGCCTACTCATACTGGCTGACAGTACGAACAGAGATGAGGACAGGCTGTGGATGTTCAGCCACCTCACATTGCAAGAGTCGCTGGCTGCTCGCTATGTGGCTGTGAAAAGGGCAACAACACTGGCACGTGTAGTTCGCCTTGCAGACGTGCTAGGTCCACGAAGTAGCCATTTACGAACTTTCTGGATGCTGCTGACGGCCCAGCTGGATAAGGAGAAAGTGAATTGCTTGCTCAGCCGTCTGCTAGCACGCACATCGTTAGCAGAGTTCCTACAGCACCTACAGCACGTCTGGGATGATCTGGATGGTGACATTGATGAAGCACTGGATGAAGTATCAGAAAATGTCTTTCCATTGGACATGCTTGAGCCACTCAGTAGCGGACTGGATGACTACGAAATACATCGCCTCGCTGAAGAGCTGCTATCAGAGCAAGTCCGAGGACAAAGCGGTGAGCGATATGTGGAAAACCGCTGCAAGTACGGTCGATCTGCAAGCGGAGAAGAATTCCTGAGAACGATGCTGCTCGCCTGGGTAGAACGCTGTCCAGACGCAGGACCCATCATGCTGACAACTGCTCTCCGTGGAATGGGGAAACAGAGCCTCGCTGAGTCTCTTGAGCGCATCGCTGTCACAACTGCTGCTGCTGCTCATCCAGACTTTACTCCTTTGGACAAGGACTTCGAGGACGAATACCTATGTGACTTGGATCTTGGCGTGCTCTGCTTCGCTGAACATTGTCATCACAACAACGTTCTTGACGCTATGTCCAGTGTAGCTGCGGCACTTCAATGTTTTGACGTTCCATTTCTCCGCAAAGCTCCGGCAATCGTCCGTGCCTATGATGTCGCTCTGGCTGTTCACTCTACCAGTGTGCGCACTCTGCGGTTCATGCCGACTCGCATTGAGTTTTTTGGTTCAAAGTGGGATATGTTAGAATCAGTACTGAAGTGCACCAATGTCACCGAGCTTGTTGTTTCCCGAATCTCCAATTTTCAGCGGTTCGAAGAGGTTTGGAAGAATATGGTATTGTGTATTAATGCCTCCCGCCTGCACATTACAAAGATTACTTTGGGTGAAGGTGATGAAGACTTCTCTAGGTTTGTGTGGATATTTGAGCACAATACCGTCAGTGGTAAGCTCCTGCCAGAGGCCCTTTCCAATCTACCTTGTCTGCAAGAATTCAAGATGAAGGAAAAATATTCCGATCTTCACTGCGAGGAGATGAAGTTGATCTGCCGTGCACTGAGTGGCTCGTCCCATCTGTCGGTCTTATGGCTTTCTGGCAAAGTACTGCCTGCTTGTGTTGGAATCTTGGCGGAAAACCTGTGCACTGCCTGGTTGGAGATGAAGCAGATACACATCCACGGTGAGTTTGAAGGTGTTCCTGAGATTCTAACTGAGGAGGATGCTTCAGCATTCCTGCACGCCGTCAACGCGCATGCTTCACTGCAGTCACTCGTGCTCTCCGCACCAGACTAAGGTTTCCACCAACAACCGCTGCATCTTCACTCTTTGAATGCTCGGAGTTTTGAACCGGAGTCCACACCGTATGAGTCTGTGCTGGATTCCTGCCGTGATCGCAATATATGGCCGCGCTTGCTGAGTCGAGAGTCATACCGATCCTCGTTGTCTGTGCAAATTGAGCTGCAGAATCGAGGATGGTTGGTAGCATGATCCTGGTCATCGTGCGATTCTCCTATGTCTACACTTGAGTCTACAGACTAGTGAGTAGTGTACCAGAGTATCTATGACTGGCGCATGTGTCTACTATACATGATGTGCCTAATACATGTGACTCGGGTGCATGTGACTGGTGCATGTGACTGGTGCATGTGACATTGTACATAACAAACTGGCTTACTGGCCGTCTTGCCATTCAGACCGTGTACCGATGACTGTGTACAGTAGTATAGTAGTTGAGTGTAAATACTAGAATAGCGGAGAACACGGACGAGATAGCGGAGAACACGGACGAGATAGCGGAGAACACGGACGAGGAGGCTGCAGTTTCAGAAACAAGGACATTACCAGCCAGCCGTGACTGGGAACCTGTGTTCTGTGACTCCCAATGTTACTGTATATCACAATTCAGTATTGTGTACACTAGCACAGGCTGGAGAGACCAATGCTATAAATTATTAATGTTAACGTATACTGTACACCACTGAACACTTGACATCATTTTATCTATTTTCCGCTCCACCCTCAACTTATTGCCTAGAACCATGCAGCTGGTGCTGAAATTTTGTTTGCATGATACAACTTGACAGTATCTGCAAGCAGGAGCTCAGCTGTGTATGCTGAAGTTTGGAAAACGTGACCAACACGGATTTTGTACATCGGAGGCTGAAACTAAGTCTGATGCGCTGAAAATCTGTAGGCTTACAGCACCGGTACGTTATTGTTTAGCCTAGTCTTCCATTCTATCCGTCTTACAGTCTTCCAGCACAGGATTAGATATGTGACTAATTCTGACTGGTAAACCATTTCTTTGTATTTTTCTGCACCTACGTAGCCCCCCCCCCCAAAAAACACGCACACACACACAGTCACTAGCCAGCTTGAGCTCTTTAGTGATAGCAGCAGCAATACATGTATCTTTAATAAATACAAGTAACTGTTAGAAGTCTTGCTACACTGGTCTGTGTATTATTTGATTTAGACCTGTCCTGCACCTACCTGAATTGTGACCCGTTGACAATACTCATCATGAATTCAATTCACTTATTCCTGCGTATTGGTAGTGTTAGGTGCTGTTCAGGATGTTAGAGAATGCGCGTTTCCAGTGTCCATTGGATACATGAAGCCATACCATGTGAAACCTGAACTCATGAATTTAACTTCTCTTTGGCCTGTCGTGTTTAGCAGTTTAAACAGTGTTTTGGATTGGCCAATGAACGCCACAGCCATTATGCATTAGGCCGGACATGTATCAGGGGATGGGCATGTGTTGTTTAGCCATTATTCATGAGGCCGGACAGGCGTTGGGGAGGTGCATGCTGATTCCAGGGGCTGTGCATACGGGCGCTTGCTACAATATAATCCACAGCAGCGTTTTGCCTGAAGCTGCTACTGAACACACACTACACTACACAGTCCTGCATTGAGCTACTGTACATACCACACCTCACATACGGTACTTGGAAGGCAACCGTCTAGTCAGCTGTCAAAATCTGAACTACAAACATTTACTGATTTAGTGCTTCAATCAACTCCGGCCTAGCATCAAACAATGTGAAAATAAAGAAACAAGAGCTAACAGTTGCCCTACTAAGTTAGCTGGTTGAGGCTAAGAGGGGTTGTGAATACCACCACATTTTCACAGGCCAGAAGAGGATAACACACTCAAGTGCACAAATAAACAATTCATACCAAGCTACAAATATCTAAAGTAAAGATGACATCATCTACCCACCAGCCACCACACTACTATCTATTGGTAACGTACACCCACCACACGGTATACACAATCAAATTATTAATTGAAAACAGAGAAAACACAGCGTTGTCAAGACAACATTGTAGGAAAAAGCCTAAACCTCGCGGTAGTCAAATTCCCGTTGCCATGAGTAACGCAGAGACAAGCTGGATCTACCTCACCCAGATGATGATAGTCATCTGCATGTGTATGTTCTGGAGTGGACGAGACGGATGATGGCGACAGGCAGTTTTCCCAACGACAACCCTCGCTGTAGTTGTTCCAGTCCATATCGCAGTTCTGCTCGAAGTCCGTAGGTGACAGCTTGTCAAAGGTGAGTCCTGCACGAAGAATCAACAAAGAGAGCGGAACATTGACGGGCAGTGCACAAACAATGTTCTTGGACCTTGTTGAGTTCTGTCCAGATTGACTGGATGTCTACTCTCATACGCCTTGTTTGGTTGAATAACCTGCTGATTGGTTGACAGCATGATACAAGGCGGTGGAGGAACACTGTTTTCAACACAGGCATGTTGCGCGCTGGACAGAAGCTACCCCCCCCCCCCCCCTCCAAAAATAAATCTTCTGACTGCCCTTCAGCTTGTGAATGTTTGGGTCAAAGAGCCTTCTTGGGACCGCAGTTCACAGCAAGATCCAAGCACCAGTGTGCAAAGTCCCCTTTCGCTACTACTACATGTACTGGCTATCTGTGGCAGTACGGCTGCATAGTAGTGAATACCTGTACAGTTCAGTTTTAATTACAGGGCCATGTCTAGCCAGGAGAAACTGTAGAGGTGGGTAGGGGAAACAAACAAATCATCCATGTTTCTCCATGTTACACCTTTGCCTTGTCATAAAAGAATGCAACGACGTTACGTGCGGGTGTACAGCTCAGAGCACCTGGAGCAATGGATTTGGGTGCCCCACCCCCGCTCGCCCCTGCCTACCCCCTTTGGCTAGTGTAGTGTTTTAGTCCGTGACTCACAACACCCAAAACAAAGCACAACCGTAGTTCACTTGTCCAGTACGCAACTGGTTGAATATTACAGAGTAGAGCAATATAAAAAGGAAGATAATGGAGGTAGTCCAAACACACGAGATAGCTAGCATGCATGAATGGATGAATGCCAAGTGCGGTCATTCGACACTTCCACAAGGTCTAGCATTACCAACAATAGTCTGGCCCTCAGGTGATTCACAATGTCTGTGGTTACAAACACCACAGTCCTCCCTTCTAAAATGGAACATACTTCTAGGACTAGAGTAAAGATCGTAAACGTCAAGATGAAGATCGAGAAAGAGAAACATGAGCATACAGTGATGTGTAGTTCCGACATGATCAACATGACCGGGACTGTTTCTACTTTCTACAGGCCCAAGCGAGACACTTGCTTGTGTGTCCGCAGCGATCGGCGTAGAGTCGGAGTCGGTGAGGCGTCGGTTGCGTCAGCCTCGTGCTGTTGTGGCACTGCAGCCGGCTCAGGCTCGGGTGCTTCTGCTGCGGTCGGGTGCTGCGCTGGAGGGAGACATGGTGCAGCCACAGATTGTGTCGGCTCATCCACTAGGAAGGACGGGTGTCCCGCACGTAGCTGATCCAGGTGTCGCTTCCACTGTGCGCCTTGGCTGGTGACAATCATGTACGTACGAGACCCAAGCTTCTCGAGTATGGTCGCTGGGATCCATCCGGGATGGTTGGCGTTCCGGTAATCACGTGCCAGAACGGCGCCTCCAACCTCGAAGGATCGTGCCTTGCCAGCAGGCTCTTCGGTGGGCGTCTTGGCGTTCTGTTGTGCCGTTGACGGTCGCAACAAATCCAGACGTGATCGTAGCTGATGGCCTAGGAACAGCTTCGCAGGCGTTGCGTTTGTAGCCGGATGGACTCCTCGGCGGTAGCTCATCAAGAACCGGACAGCAGCAATCTGTGCAGGTGTTGACTGTGGTACTGCCTGGATTGCCCGTTTAAAGGTCTGGACGAACCTTTCAGCTTGGCCGTTCGTCGCTGGTTGATACGGCGCTGAGCGTCTGTGAGCGATGCCGTTCGAGGCGAGGAACTCTGCAAACTCTGCAGATGCAAATTGTGGACCATTGTCGCTGACGATGAGGTCTGGGCAACCATATCTGGCGAATACTGTCCTGAGACTCGCGATGGTAGCCAAAGACGTTGTGGAAGGCATCGGAATGACTTCGGGCCATTTTGAATGGGCATCGACAATGACGAGCCACATCGTTTGCCGCAATGGACCAAGGTAATCTACGTGGACGCGCTGCCACGCGCGGTCTGGCATGCTCCATCGGTGCACTGGTGCTGCAGCAGGTTCGCTCTGGACACTTTGGCATCCGAGGCATGCTTTGACTGCGTCTGCTATGTCGCCATCCAAGCCCGGCCACCAGAGGATGCTTCTCGCCAATGCCTTCATTCGTACCATTACTGGATGGCCTTCATGAAGCTCTGTCAGGACAGCTTTCCGGTGGTCCGGCGGAATGATGACGTGATTGCCCCATAGCAAGCACTCGTTGCTAACGCTGAGCTCGTTGCGGCGTTGGAAGTACTGCTGTAGCTCTGCTCTTGGGCACGACTTCGGCCAACCTTGTTGCACATAGCGATGGACCTCACGCAATAGCGGGTCGCTGGCTCTTGCCTCCTTGATCTGCTATGCTGTCACTGGGAGTGGTTCGCATTGGTCCATGTAGAACATGTTGACCGCTTCCTCTGCCGTATCTGGTACTGGAGGATTTCCTACCGGCAGGCGTGACAATCCGTCGGTGTTGCAATGCTTGTCTGTTTGGCGGTACATGATCGTGTAGTCATGTCCGGCCAGGAGCATCGCATAGCGTTGAAGACGTGCTACGGTCATAGCAGGCAGGCCTTTCCTCGGGTGGAAGATTGATACCAACGGCTGGTGGTCCGTGAGCAGCTCAAAATGCCGGCCGTACAGGTAGTTGTGGAAGCGTTTCACACTCCACACTATTGCGAGCGCTTCACGGTCGATCTGTGAGTATGCCTGTTCCGCTTTCGAGAGACATATGCGATCGGTCGCTCTTCTCCAGATGGCAGAATGTGCGACAAGACCGCTCCAACCCCGTATGGTGACGCATCACTTGCGAGACGAACGGGCAGTGTCGGGTCATAGTGTGTGAGCACCTGTTGGGTTGACAGCACCTGCTTGACCTCTTGGAAGGCTTGTCGGCACTCATCTGTCCATTCGAACGCCGCTCCTTTTTGCAGCAGCGCTGTTAGTGGACTCAGGATAGTTGACATCTTCGGAATGAAGCGTTGATAGTAGGTGATGAGCCCCAGAAAACTGCGTACTTGCGGCACATTCTCCGGCGGTGGAGCATCACAAATTGCATCAACCTTGCTCGGCATCGTGTGCAGGCCCTGTGCGCTGATGGCGTGGCCGCAATATTCCACTTTCGGCTGAAAGAAGTGGCATTTGGCCAGGTTGAGCTTGAGGCCCGCATCACCGAGACGTTGGAGCACCTTCATCAGCGTGTTGAGGTGTTCCTCGGGTGTGCGGCCAGTGACGATGATGTCATCGATCATGCACTTAACGCCTGGCAGGTCTCGTAGCAGAGAATCCATGGCTTATTGCCATAGCGCGGGAGCAGACGCAATCCCGTATGGGAGACGGTTGAGTCGAAACAGACCCAGATGGGTGTTGAGCGTAAGCAGGGGCCTCGACTCGTCGTCCACCTCCATCTGCATGTACGCTGCCTTCAGATCGAGTTTTGTAAACTCTTGCCCTCCGGAGAGTGAGGCAAAGATCTCCTCGATGAGCGGCAACGGGTGTTGGTCGATGTGGAGCTGGGGATTCACCGTCACCTTGAAGTCTCCACATAGCCTGACCTGGCCGTTTGGCTTCAGAACAGGTACCACAGGTGTTGCCCATTCGCTCCACTCCACCGGAGTGAGGATTCCAGCAGCCTCCATGCGACGTATCTCTGCTTCAACCTTGGGTTTCAGCGCCATTGGCACCGATCGTGCCTTGACAAACTTTGGAGTCGCATCAGACTTCAGCGTGAGCTTGGCTTTCGCCCCCTTGAACAATCCTCGTTCATCATTGAATACCGCTGCAAATTCACGTTGTAACTCCTGGAGTGAGGATTTCACATTCCTGATAGCCGCCAACTCTGTCCAGTTGAGGCGAAATTGCTGGAGCCATGTGCGTCCTAGCAATGCTGGGCCCTCGCAGTCGACCATGTACAGCTCAGCCTCCGCTTGCTGACCGTTGATGGTGACAGGCAAGCGCAGCACGCCTTGCGATCGAAGCGATTCACCGTTGTAGGCTTGCAGCACCAGTTTTGCTGGGCGAAGCGGGTGTTCGGAGAACAAGTGCACGTATGTTGCGGCTGGTAAAACAGAGACACCAGCGCCCGTGTCTACTTCCATAGATAACTCCTGTCCCGCGATCTGTGCGGTTATCGTGAGTGGTACTGGTGGCTTTCCGCTCGACTGGATCTTGGAGACACGCACATAGCGAATGCTGGACTGGTCGTCCTCGTCGCTCGCAAACAAATAGTTGTGACCTGTCATCATGGTCATCGCTGAGCCTTTGCGCTTGAATGATCTGGGTCGCGGAGTTGGTCGCGCTCCTGGCTGCTCAGCTGGCTTGCTTCGGCAAACCCGCTGCAAGTGGCCTTTCTTACCACACGCATTGCAAACTTCGTCCTTGTAGCGGCAGTCAGGCGCCTTGTGTCCAACGCCACCACAGCGAAAACACGTAGATCGTGCACCAGGCACAGGCTTTCTCGATGGGTTGCGAAGTTTGTGGACACCACCGCTAGCGTTCTTCGTATCCGTCGCGGAGACTTCCAGAGCGTCCCTGGTGGCCAGCTCATCAGCCAGCGCGTCCTTGACGGCGTTGTCGAAAGTCAGTGCGTCCGTGGCCAGGAGTTTCCTCCGCGTACCTGCACTCCTCAGTCCGCAGACGAAGCGATCAGGCTCGCAGAGCTTCTGCAAGATGGGCATTGAACTCGCAGGTCCTTGCCAAACGGCGAAGTTCAGCCACGTAGGCGGCGATCGATTCTCCTGGACGTTGGTCCCTCTGGTAGAATCGGTATCGTTCTCCAATGACAAGTGGTTTCGGTGCGAGATGTCCTTTTAGAGCCGCGCAGAGTTCCGCAAACGTCTTGTCAGTTGGGGCGTTCGGGGCCAGCAAATCTTGCAGCAGTTCAAATGCTGGACCTCCGATGACCGTGAGCATCGTTGCTCGCTTCAGGTCATTATCATCGATGCTGTTGGCTGCCAAATACTGCGTCAAGCGTAGTTCGTACGTCGACCAGTTTCCGCCAGTGACATCAAACAACTCAATGTGTCCAAGAGTCGCCATAGCCGGAGCTAATACTAGTAATGCTCGGAGCACACTAGAAAAACAAAATCTTCGTCGCCACTGTAGTGTTTTAGTCCGTGACTCACAACACCCAAAACAAAGCACAACCGTAGTTCACTTGTCCAGTACGCAACTGGTTGAATATTACAGAGTAGAGCAATATAAAAAGGAAGATAATGGAGGTAGTCCAAACACACGAGATAGCTAGCATGCATGAATGGATGAATGCCAAGTGCGGTCATTCGACACTTCCATAAGGTCTAGCATTACCAACAATAGTCTGGCCCTCAGGTGATTCACAATGTCTGTGGTTACAAACACCACAGCTAGAACCCTGAAGTACAAACCTAATATTATACGAAGAAATGAGGACCAATGAACTACAAGTAAGACGCTATCATGTCAACACAGAATTATTCGTAGAGAATTTAATTTTGTCTTCTTCGTCCGAGGAACCTTTGTACTAGAGTAAATGCCGGATTAAAGTCATTTTGTAGAGGTTACCAGTAGGTAAATGGACAACATTTTCGCCTGGACAGACCGGTCGATCTCTTTCATTGGAATTGGATGAATTTATTCACCAGCTTAATCTTCTGTTTTATTAGTCTACTTGACCTGCTCCATGATTCTTTCGACCGTGCCCCCCCCCCCCCCCAAGGTTGACGTGCTATGCCTTTCGTATATTAAGTGTGTGAGTGTGGGTCCGTGTGTGTGTGGGGGGGGGGGGGGGGGGGCTTGCCCCCCCCCCCCCCCCCCCCCCCGCCACAGGCTGCCTTTTTTACAAATACATGTCAAATCATGCAGCTAAAATTACAGGAGCAAGCATCAGCAGTATCAACATCAACAGTATCACAATCAACAATATCACTATCAACTCACCTGAAGTGGACTCTCTGGCAGTAGAGTAGCTGGGGCGGACGCCATTTTTACGGGTATAGATGTCATAAACCTTGTTGGTCGTCACCAAAAACACCCCTGCGCAAAGGAGAAAGGTATTGTGAAAGAACACAGGACAAAGGAGAAAGGTATTGTGAAAGAACACAGGACAATGAGTTTACTGCACACACCGTGTACAGCCAGAAATACGCCCTGCATCATCTCTTCATAAGAATATAGTCATTTGTTCATCCACTTTGTTATGACTATAAAAATCATAGAATTCCACAATCAAGATACACTTGGATGCTGTCTCCAGCTCCATGCATAGTTAAGTGGTCAAATACTAGTTTTGAGGTAACAACAGGTACAAGTACATCTTAACAATTGAGTGACTACAACACTGTATATAAGCTGTATACTGAATGAATGATCCGTGTGCATTATGTGCATTATCATTAGTTGTACAAACATCAACTAAGTGCTCACTTCCGGTGGCCAGTGTTAGAACCTGCTTATCCGCGCCGGCTTGCAGGCTTCTCTTGTCCGTGTTCAGCCAATGCGGGCAGGATGGAAGAAGTCCAAGATGGTGCACCCATGGCCGTGGCCCTTGCCATGTTGAAAGCTGAACGTTGTGTCCGTTCGTACCGGAGGTGAATGCCAGCGAGCCTGCATTGCCATTGGTGGATATGCAAGGCTCTCTATGATTCAAACACGTAAAACACAAACAATCCGGCACAGCAGTACAGAGGCCGGCACAATCAGGGATTGATAAGAAAGTCAGAATCTCTGATACAGTGTGCCGACACTGGTCTAGACCCTGGAGACTCTGGGACAGGGATGCTAGAGTGATTCTTCTCCAGTCGCTACAGTTGAGCTCCCCCCCCCCCCCCCCCACACACACACACACATGCACCATGCTGCGCCTTCTACAGCACAACACATTGTTATCTGAGCATGAGCGGAAGGAGTGGTAAGCAAAACTCAGCGTCATGTGGAGAGCAACACATTTTGTTCTGTTATAGCCTTACTAACCCCGCCATGCACGCTTCATATTGAATTATTGCTCAGTGACAGGAAACATGAAGTCCACAAACACACAACTCAACGATCATGTAGCCCTTCTTTCCGAAGCATTCAAGTTGGACAAGACAACTTCCACATGGCTACATCCATCAACTTGATCTATCTGCACATAGACAGACCACTTTAATACTAGGGGCTAACAATCACACTGACATTGCAGCATTGGTCTGCGGTCAAGTCCAAGGTAGGAGCTTTCCCCGTGAGGCCCTGCAATGGGAGATTTTGTGTTTGGACGCATGTACAACGCCAAAGGCACTCTCGTCCTTGCAAAACATGCTGACCAAACTGACGGATCCACGATCAAGGCAAAGAGAGGGGGGGGGGGGGTGTGACGTGAGCACCTGCCTGCGTGTGAGTGACCAGGCCGCAAAGCGCAAAAACAACCGCTTGCTTCATCGTCCTCTCCCAGTGAGTATCTCCAGGTGGGCAGGCTTTATTTGGATCTGTCTCCAAACTCCACTTCCACATAATGAAGCACTTTCCCAGCGCGTGTGCTCATATAATAAACTCCCGATAGCAGACATTGACCAACGTTTATAGTTACTTGCATTGCGGTGCCTGGTGTCGACTCTGTTGTCACCTGGGTGTGGGTTTGTGTAAATGCAGGTCTTGGTCTAGAGCTTATCAGCCACGCTACTGTAGCTAACAGTCCTTACTTCGGTGTAGGCAATCACTTGACATTCAATACGCATGCAATGAGCTGTGCCATTTCGACTTCCGTACGAATTATCTTGGCTTTTGCTCATGTTGCAGACAGTCTTGACACCGAATTGCGAGTGCTCCTGAGCTTCAATTAAAATTCTGACACTTTAGTCTCATATAGTATCGTGAAAGGTTCTACTTGTAAAAAACATCCACCGCGGGAGGCCGTTTGGGCGCAGGCAGTCTTTGGGTGGGGATTCTCCGGTAGCAGATAGGCCCAACAAGAAAGCAAGTCAGTGACATGTATGCTCGTACAGAGTGCGTCTCGAGATGCATTCTCAGAATGCATCTCGAGACGCACTCGGAGTCGCACCCTGCTAACGCCCATCAGGGGCGGATCCAGGAGGGGTTCCAGGTGTTCCGTGGAACCCCCTAAATTTCATAAAATGTAATGTACTACTGGCAACCATATGCGGGTGCATGTACATGTATCAGTTATTCAGTTTTGACTACACTGGAACCCTGTGGAGATTGCTGGATCTGCCGCTGCCCATGGTATGTATTTACTAGGTTCTTCTCAATCCACAGGCATCCTAGCAGCACTCATTTCTTCTAACAATACTCTTAGTTTATATGTTGAGATAAGCACACGTGTATGGTATGCATGGCCATACCACTGTTGTTATAAGTTATAACAAGAGTCCATAACCCCAGGAGTGTGCAACTGTGTCATGGGGATCTGCGCGGTGGAATTCCAACATTACGTCAAAAATGACGTACACGTTCGTTGCACGTGTACTGCTCCCTGGTCCCAAGCACCCCGGAATGCGGAGTTTTGCACAGCTGTGCCTCAGCGGCATGACGTAATGTTGGAATCCCGCAGCGCAGTGGGCCTACAGCAGCCAGACCCCAGTTGCACACTCTTGGGGTTATGAACTCTTTGTTATAACTTATCACCATACAGACGTCTCTGCTGTGATGCTACACGATCTTCGGTCTACAGCCAGTACAGGCAGTACGAGTTTCGTACAGGCACTCGGTGTGTCTCCGTAACTGTCTGCAATGTTTATACTAAGTCTTTAGTTATTTTGTCGTACGTGTAAGCTAAGACCATTGGACCATTGGACGCCCATCGCCGGAGGCGATGATAGCGATGCTACAGCAGAAGACATAGCAGCTTGTGCTGGGATTGCACCATTCAACAGCTTGCAAGGCTGAAGAATTGACCGCCACTATTCAGCCTGGTCTACAGCACACAGCTATGAAGTGGCTTTTTCTGGCCAGCTAAGACACATGCACAGGGACCCGACGTACCTGCGCACAAGATCACACAGGCTTGAACTTTGAAGGATCACTTCACGCAGCTTCGGGGAACTCCGACACCATAACCGTCTTTTTCCACCCGATCATCATCGGCTCGTGATCAAGAAATGTCGGGTTGGCCTTCATGGAAAGCTCTTACCGTTAGCTGAGCAATGAGTACCAGGCATGCATGAAACTTACTTGAAAGCATTCAATGCAAGGTCAGCTCTCCACGAGCCAACACATTTTTGATAATTCGAGTGCCCTCGCTGCTTCCACCACCACTCAGCACTAGAATAGTCATCTGAAGTAACTAATACTTCCTGATTGAAAAGTCAAAACACTAATCACTAATCACTTATCATATCAGGTCGTAATAATAATCAAGAAATTATTATTTTGATCGCTAGCACGGCCGGCCGTGCTGTGGTCCTGCTATATACATGCTAGCTGCTGGGTGCAGTTTTGACATACAATAGTATTAGCCAGATAAAGACGTTGATGGCTACTGTGTGTAGAGGGGACGGTTTCAAATAGGACATACGTCACATAGGTTGCAAACCGGAACGGACTCAATACACTCGAACGTCTCTTATCCGGGCACCTTGGGACCGGGCACTGCCCGTATCTCAGATTTGCCCGTGTCTCAGGATAACTCACCTACCATGTATGATATCATTTTTTGAAGAAGTTTATTTGGCACGTATTGCACATGTACGTTGAGGATACAAAAGGAACCCATTGATAAAAATGTGTGGATTACATAGGTTGGCAGTGAAACATAAGCACTTCCACACACGGAAAAAAGTTCAAAAACCCCAAATTCGACTCATTTGTGCTATAGGCCCTCAAGCTGAAGGTGCCCGGTAGAGAGACGTGCCCGTATCTGAGGCGTCCGGATAAGAGGCGTTTGAGTGTATTCACTTTCTCTATTGGTATTTTGATTGCATGTCGGAGTTTCCGGTGAGATATAACTATGTCTAGCCCTCGCGATTTACGCGATTTCATGCTCGAACACAGCATTTTTTTAAAGTTCAATATTCTAATGAAGCTGTACTTGATGCAGCTCATCCAAGGCCCTTCAGGCCTTTTTTCATGCTCGAACAAGAAGTGCCTTGGATATTTTCCTCTCACCGTCTTAGACTCTTGGCGATGGAGAAGCTTTTAGAGTCTTTGCGTGACGATGATCAGGCGGCTCGCCGCCTTGCCCACGTGCCGGCCGATGCGGTCGAAACCCCCTGAGCCGTGGATGCGGGCGTGTGATGACACCCCAAGATGGGCCGAGTGTTTTGCGTCCACGCGAGTCACGCCGTGACTTTGGGTCGTGTGATGTTTCTGGCGAAGCCAGGACACGAGTGGCTGGTAGCTCCAGCCCGGCACCTTGTCGGCACCATAGTGCGTCCTTAAATGTGACGAGCACTAACGGCCTAAACGGCCTGAACGGTCTCACGACCTGCTTGGCCTAAGTGCCTACGAGTCCGGCGGACACTGTTGCCAGTGCCTCCGAGTGTGAGTCTGACTGTTCTCAGTCAAAGACCGGCATACTCCGACTCAGATGAGGGTGAGCACTACTCTAAGTCTCTAGACTAGTCTAGTTCTAGTCAGACTCAGAGCTCAGATGCTAGTGCCGACTCGGAGTCCTCACATCAGGACAGTGTTACTTGCCACCACCTCGGGCGTAGCACGCGGGCCAAACGGTCCCAATCACATCCACCTCACATGTCTGCTGTATTGCTGCTACATATGCATTGTTGCCGCAGCGGCATCTTGATGTGATGGTCTGATGTTGTAACAGTGTACCCATTTGCTAGGCCAGCTTGGTGCGTTTCCGTGGAGTTTGCCGGGGCACCATATTTGTAACGGCGATTCTGTTTGCTGTTGCCGTGGCCGTGTTTGTCACATGATTGGTGCATTCCCGTTGAAGTTGCCCAGCCGGGAACCACGTTTGTCAGTTGTGCCTGTTTGAAGTTGCCAGGCCAGCTTGTATTGGTGCGTTCCCGTTGAGTTTGCCGGGGCACCATGTTTGAAACGGCGTTCCCGTCTGCTGTTGCCGGGGCCGTGTTTGTATTGGTGCATTCCCGTTGAAGTTGCCCAGCGGGGCACCACATTTGTCAGTTGTGCCGCTTTACAGTTGCCAGACCAGCTTGCGTTGGTGCGTTCCCGTTGAGTTCTCCGGGCACCATGTTTATAACGGCTTTCCCGTTCGCTGTTGCCGGGGCCGTGTTTGTATTGGTGCACTCACGCTGAAGTTGCCGAGCGGAGCACCACGTTTGTCAGTTGTGCCTGTTTGAAGCTACCAGGCCAGCTTGTATTAGTGCGCTCCCGTTGAGTTTACCGGGGCACCATATTTGTAACGGCGTTCCCGTTTGCTGATGCCGGGGCTGTGTTTGTTTTGGTGCATTCCCGCTGACGTTGCCCAGCGGAGCACCATGTTTGTCAATTGCGCCTGTTTGAAGTTGCCAGGCCAATCCTGTAACGCGCACCCGTGTGCAGTTGCCGGGTGACATGTTTGTCAATTGTGCTTGTAGCATACTGCCGTGATGTGCGATTAATAACAGGCCGCCGGAGCTGGTCAGGTTATTACCGGACCAACTTTTCAGCCACGAACACGTGTTTCCTGCTGTGGAGGGCAGGTGTACCCGTCATACCCTACACAAAGTATAACGGCCATGATACTACCGGACCACTCACACGCTGCATCCGGCGGTCCTGAGTAAGGCGATAATAATTACGAGCCATGCATTGGTTTGTTTTGCCAATGGCTCTTTGTGGTACACGGCAATTTGCTATCATTCGTGACATTTCACAGAGTGACGAATGTGAGAAGACGAAACAAAAAGAAAAGAAATAATTTTAATAATGGCAAACCCCGGCCCCCACAATTATCAACCTCCGAGCGCTGAACAACTATCTGTAGTATCACCACTTCGCGCTGGAGTCATTGAAGACAGTGCCGGATCACCTGCAGCTAGGGGATGTGCTGATCGGGATAGACTTAAGAGATGCTTATTTCTCCAGTCCAGCGGCTCGATCGTCAGTTTCTCCAGTTTTCAGTGGTATCAACAGATTTCCCAGTTTAACTGTCTACCGTTTGGCTTGCGCAGTGGTCCCAGAGGCCAGAGTCTTCACCAAGACTAGCTCTGCACCCTGTGGTGAAGGTGGTACGTTCGCTCGGCCTACACCTGGTGATTTACCTCGCCGACATATTTATCATGGCACGGACAACGTCCGACCTGTTTCTCCCTGTTACTACCATTCTTCGTCTGCTGATTGGTCTTGGGTTCGACATCAACTGGATGCAGTCGTATCTGATTCCCACCAGGCAGATACAATACCTGGGTATTCAGGTCAACTCCGTCACCATGGAGTTCTCATTGCCAGACTCGAAAGCATCCATGCTTCAACAACAATGTGCGCGTCTGCTGGCTGCTCACACCGTATGTCTTCGGGGTATTGCGTCAATTGTGGGCATGATGGTGTCCACCATGGTTGCCGTGGTTCCTGCATCACTTAACTATCGTCGCTTGCAGTGTTTGAAGACCACGTTCCTACGGCAGGGTCCCTTTTACACTTACCGGCTTACTCTCAGTCATGAGTGCCATGCCGAGATTCATTAGTGGATTCGGCATCTCCAGCTGTGGAGTGGGCGACCTGTACGCCTTTCCGAACCGGGCCTCACCATCCAGTCCGATGCATCCCATGCAGGTCATTCGGGGTGGGGCCCGGTGCATATTGTGCCAATGTCACCACAGGCGGCTGATGGACATCTGCCGAGAAGCAGCTTCACATGAATGTCCCGGAACCGCTCACAGCCCAGTATGCTGTCCAGTCGCTAGCGCCTTCTCTATACCAGGGCAGTATTCTCCTGCAGCTCGACTACCGTGTGGCTGTTCCCTGTTTGCCCCGCACTGGCAGCCGTTCATCACCGACATTAGACAGGATAGCTGCCACGCTGTGGGAGTGGTGTCAGTCTGCTCAGAGATATCACTTTGATTCCCAATATCTACCTGGTGCAGTGAATACAGTTGCTGATTATCACTCTCGCCATCACACGGATACCAGCGCCTGGATGCTCAACCGGTCAGTTTTCCAGGTTCACCAGATCATGTGACCGAGTGCCTGCGACCTGTTTGCATCTCGCACTAAATTTCGACTGCACATGTATGTCAGTTGGCGCCCATATGCACACAGCCCGCATGCCTTCCGTCTCGACTGGTCCTGCCTGCAAGTCTATGCCTTCCCTCCAATCTATCTGATTGGCAAATGCCCGGCCAGGGTTGTTCTACAGGAAATCTCATCCATAGTCATGGTCACTCCGCTTTGGCCCGGCCAGGCTTGGTTTCCAGCTCTCTTGGCACTAGTGGTGGACATTCCGCGTGTGCTGTCAGCCTCTCCGGTCTTGTTTGCTGGACCAGATCACAAAGTTCACCCGTCAGTATAGTCAGCTCACTTCACCCTGGTCGCATGGAAACTCTCCGGGCTAGCAACAGCCGCAGCGGAGTTTCGGGCGACACTGCCACCCTACTCTTGGCGTCATGGCGTTCCCTCACCGACCGTGTGTATCAGTCGGCATGGAACACATGGTGTGATTGGTGTGCTACACGGCAAATTGATTCCCTGGGTGTTCTCTCCGAGGTCCTCGATTTTCTGACCTCTCAGTTCCGTCTGGCTCGACTGTATCATACGCTAGGGTTGTACCGGTCAGTCATGTCAATGACGCTTCCTCCCATCGATGGCGTTGTGGTTGGCCCGCATCCTCTGGTGTCTCATATGCTCCCCGGTGCATATCAATCCCGTCCTTCTCAGCCGTGCTATGGCAGCATGTGGAATGTACAGGCAGTCCTGGATTGGTTCCGGAACATGTCCTTCACACATGAGTCTCTCAAAGAACTGACTCTCAGGTTGACTATGCTGCTGGCTCTGACGGGTGCCCGGCGTTGCTCTGAGCTGCAGAAGCTCGATGTTCGTTTTATGGACATTATTGTCAACGCTGCTTCATTTGGGATCCCCACTTTTACCCAGAATCAGCGCGTCGGTGATCCAGCCAAGTAGTTTGTCTTCCCTGCTTGCCCTCAGCACCCTCCGTTGTGTGTGGATGCTCTAAGGCAGTATTCTGCTCGCACAGAGAGAGAGAGAGAGTTTCCCGCCCGCTGCCGCCGCGTCTGCCAACCCTCTGCTGCTGTCGCTCCGACGTCCTCACAAGCCGGTCTCACCGCGCACCGTTGCCGCTGAGGTGGCTCCTCACTTCCATGTCGGATGCTGGTGTGGACACCATCGTTTTTCTGATGGCACCACCTTCGGTGCG